ACATAGTTGAAAAATATTAAAGTTTTAAACCATTATGAAGTTCAAAACTGTTACTTAAAACTAAAACAACGATTTAAAACACGGAGTGTATTAGGAACTTAGTCATTACTCTTAGCATCCTAATAATGTCCAAACGAAATTCCTCCACTATCAGAATACAATTAAAAAGATGTTATATCTCAATTCGCTACATAACGTAAGACATATTTCTGGTCGTTTCACCGAGCAACTTACTTATTACATATCATTACGAGATATGTAGAGCAGATGGTGCCCAGCCCGACCGAAACTGTAACATTTTCCGGGATACGATTTTTCGGCCTTTCCCATTTCACCAAAGACGAAGCGCTCGATAGTTCATTTATATTCGAAGCGGGAAGAATTTCGTACATGCATTCGACATTTGAGAAATGCTCGAATATCGTGGTTACAAATTGATGACAGATTCGAAGACGATTGATACACATACACCTATTGTGATCTCTCGTTGCTACAAATTGCCTGGGATTTACCTATAAGAGATAGTGGACTGAATATTTGCGAGAAAATGATTCCTGTAATATGCATCCGTTAGTTTTAGTTTTGTAAACCTACTATCGATAGGTACGACGTGATAAAATGAATAATACAAATATTTATATCAAATCGTTCCCAAAAAGTAAAACAAACAAAAATCTTTATTAATAGCACTTACAATAGACTTTCCGGGTAACCTACAACAACCCTAAGCCGTGTAAGTTTAAAGACCCTAGCCGAAGAAGCTTCTTTATTAAAAACTAGCTGTGCCAGCGACTTCGTCCGTGATAATCGTTATTTTGGGCATCCAAATTAGGTTTTGCAAACCGTTCTTTAAATAAACTTAAGTTTTTAGCCACGACGTCGATCGCGTCCCTTCCCGTCGTTCTTGCAAGTTAACCTTAAAAGATAGACATATAGCGTTGCGGACTTTTTTTTAGATCATTTAAAGAAGAATACTTTTTTCATACACATTTTTTAGTTATCTTGAACCGTATTCGCAGCGTAGGCCTCGGAGACCCACAGAGATGAAAACAAACAAACAAACTCTTCAGCTTTATATATTAGTATAGATTAAATGCTGATTGTATTAATGCAGGTTTAAAGTATATTCTCGTAATAACCGTTATTATCTTGCAGTGCCATATCATGCAATAATTATTTACACAATATTTTGCAACTTTCGGAATTAAGGTATAGACTAAAACAATAATAAGCCTTTATTAAATACATTATTATAAAAATACATTTTTTTTGTTTACATTATGATATTTTTAAATATATTAAAAGACTAAAATATGAATGAAAACTTGAATCATCGGATTTATACTTTGTCTTTGTCTAACACACTTAATCAATAAGGGAGAAAAGAAGCCGAACTAATAATACCGATATAAATATATAACTTCCAAATTTAAATTGTTACCTTGTTGTATGGATTACACATTCTTTTTCTTCAAATCGTTTTTCAGCTCTCCGTCTACATGTGGGGACGAGACGGCTATTGTGTTTCGGGGGATGTGAATCGATCAGCTATTAGCTAAGATGGATCGGGCCATTATTTGATATCCACGTCATATGTATGGGTTAGGATTAATCTGCCATATTCATACTGAAAAACGGTTTTTTTCATTTATTTATTTCAAAGTGACTTGCCAACTAAATACATAATAAAAGCTTAATCTAAAAACCAACTCTAATGTTCTATAATATGACAAGCAATGCAATGTCTAAAAAGTGTCTGTAAGGACCCGGCCAGTTTCGCCAAATCCTAACTACGATGAACAGATGGCTCTAGCGTAGCAGTTTTACTTTGACATAAGAGACACCGTCCATCTTTAGTCTCCCCTGACCACGGCGACTGCAAAGCTGTAATTAAAATAATTTCTAAATAAATTGATATATAGCGCGTTTTAAACCAGAAAAAGTACTACAATTTATAAAAATTAGAAAAAGTTCTGGTTACCTATTCATCAATTGTTATCAAAATCTGTAAATATCCAGCATTACAAACGATGATACTGCAAATGTTAAGAGTATTAAAATTAGGTCACCAGAATCATAGAGATTACGTACGATCGAGTCAACTGAAACTTCATAATTTTATCTGTTTAAAGGGCAAAAAAGTAAATTAAACTGACATTTCTGCCCTATTCAATGAATTTCAAATATGAAACGACCTTGCTCTACAAACCTATAAAATACTTGTAACTGAAGTAAATGTTTACATACATATATTGGTGACAAAGTGTGATAAGTTTGTGGGCAGAAAGGCTTTTTAAGGCGGAATATCCAAGATAAAAATAATAATTAATCACACACAAGTACTACATATTTAAATAAAGCACTTATACGCTTTAAAACGCGATATGTATTAGTTTAACATATTTGAATTATTTTTAACTTCCGCCTGACGTTTCGGATGCTTTGCATCAGCCGTGGTCACGGAGAGACTTAAGATGGTGGTTGTCTCGGACGTCAAAGTGAAACTGCTACGCTAGCGCCATCTGTTTCGTCGCAAATAGTTAAAAATAATATTATTTAAAAATCACACACAAATAACTTTTGGTTATGAATCCAACTGCCCAAATACATAATTAGATTTGATATCTTTGAAAATTTTCATCTACCTTCAAATAAATTTAGGTACTGGTCTTTAGAGTACTTTAAGATCAACGTCCAAGTAAAATAAGCATCTAATATCTCTACCTATGTAGTTATTTTTCCGCTACGAAATAGCGAATACATTGATAACGACACAAGTTTTATTCGTGTCTATCGTTACCGAGGCCGGAATACAAATTGGACGTTTGATACGAGGGAACGACCGAAGCGCACGGTTTAGTTAACAGATCTCTGTAATTTCGACAGTCATCCTTGCTGAATGGATGGTGGGTTAAGCGAGATGCTTCTAATCTACTGGGCGGGTAAAGATGCGGAACCTAAGTAAATATAATCCATTCGAGTCCATATACATTATATATAGTGTCTGAATTAAATGCCAAAACAACTCGACTCATTTTAATAAGTTTTGTTGGCTTACACATCTTACGAGGATATAAAAGACTAACGATAGCATTACACTATCAACAAAGACTTCTTATGAATGGGCTATTTCAAGTGATGACTGCCACATACTGAATTATTTTAATTTTTTCATAACATAAAAGATATTGAATATTTAAGTAAAACACTTAATAATGCGAAATATATTAGTAACTTATTTTTAATTTACTACTAAACGGCCCGAAGATTCGAATGCTGCATATGCAGCAACCGGAACGTAGTCACAGGGGGATCGAAAACGGGGGGTGTTCCTGATCTCAGAACATCTATTTCGCCATAATTGGTATTTGGTCCTTTAACCAATGTATTTTAAAGCATTAAGTGTTTTATTAAAATGTGTACTACTCGCATTTAAACCACAGACAATACTTAATACCGTACCATTCGAATGAGAGACTTTACTGAAAAAAAAAATGCAAATATAAACACGGATATTATTTCTTAAAAGTCTTTCATTTGTACTCATGCCTCGCATAGACAAAGGACTTAGCAGCATGTTTTTATATGAATGCAGCATCAACGCCTTCAAGCTATGTTTTGTGGTTTGTGACTTGCTTGAGCATTGCTCGTGGTATGTATATCTTGTTATTTATTTACTGTCATCTTAATATCGCCCATGAATTGTTTTCTAACAATTGGTTCTAGATTAAAATGACAGTACGCATTGTGGCTTTTTACCTGCAGTAATCCAACCACGTCGCTTTTAATACATAGCTGTGGCCACTACAGCCGTTTTTACTATTAACATTACAGTACACAAGAAAGAAGAGATTCACGACAAAGGTTTTATTCTCGATTTTGGTGATTTTTCTGAACCTAGTTGTAAATCTCTCTCGTTTGTACAAGTTATTATAAGCATTAATATTATTTATGATAAGTATTCTTCCATGCACATATGAAACTAAAGACAAACACACTCTTAAAAGGTCTTGCGAACATAAGCGGAGCGTATAACAGAAACAGAAAGGAGAATGCAGACAAACATGCAGAGAAACACAGACACAAAAGTATATCAAAATTGTCTTAGTGAACACAGATGACGACACGCGAAAGACAAATGGATATATACAATTTTTCTTTTGTTATATTTTATTTGTATTTTTTGTAGCTTTCGTGGAATTGGCATGCACCGTAACGCTATGCGAGGTGACAGATAGTAATTGGGTTTAACGAGTTGAGAGAAGACTGAAATAAGAGTGTGTTCGTCTTTTTATATGTGCAGGGATGGGGTCCGGACGGATCGTGCGACGATTCTAAGACCGGATTACGGTAAGTACGACGTAGATTTTTTCCGCTTCGCGCTCCGCTTTAGGTCTTTTGTCTGCCCTCTAGCGCTTTTGCGAGTAACTAAAACTCTCCTACAATTCAAAACTGTATATTTCTTTGATATTACGTTACGAGAAATAGTTAAGACTGCATAACATTGTTTTCATTTTTTTTATTTCGCAAATTGCCTGTTATTTGCTAACTTATATTGTTTCATATAATAATAGTGGTGCTTCCAAATACTGCTATCAATCTTAAACTTGCGCATGCCATTTGCCAAGCAAAAATGTTTCAATCAGAAAACTTTTGCAACATCTGCTTTTGACTGAATTTAAAGTAGGAATTAATTAATATCACTTTTATACGTGAAAGTAAGTTTTCGCTGTATTTTTTGCGACACTCGTTCAATATTGGTAAATTGAATATGTATATCTGTAGCGTGTTATATGAAAATTACGTTGCGCATATATCAATAGATAAAATTCAATAAAAAATCGACGATGACGTCAATTGGTTAGAGCAATAAGCACGGAACACTGACGATGCCGGTTCAAGTCCTGACCGTGTCGTAAATTTTTTTAATTGATTTTTAAACCAAACCGTGTAATATGTTATAACTTAATAGTTAATTACTTATTACCGATTTTTTTCAGTATCTGAGGAAGGGCAACCACAGCAGCGCAGTGCACCACTACTGCAGTCACCACAATACACCGGCGGGAGACCACAACCATACAGTAAGTTTTTGTTTTATATTAGATATAACACATAGGCGCAAAAAGATATATAAGCTCAAAAACACCATTTTAGAATTTTACAATATTAGTTATAAATAATGCTAAGCTCTTTAAAATAAACATTTCTACATACACTTTTAATCTTTAGAAATTTCATCGCGCTACAAAAAACCAGAACCATATCAGATTTAGTAGAGAAATCAAAAAATAAAAGTAAATTTAGATTATAAATAAGATAACTTTTTAAACATATTTTAGGTACCTTAAACCGTTTTTGCAGCGCACGCAACGTTTCCGTCTTGTTTTCCGTTTTTTGCACAATGCTCACTATGTGTAAATAAAAGCCTTCCTTGATAAATGGTCCAACCAACAGGAAAATAATTTATAATATAATAAAGAATAATAAATTTAATTCGAACCACTAGTTCCCGAGATTAACGCGTTCAAACAAACAAATCCTTCAGCTTTATAATACCCGATTATATAATAACGTAGCATCGTTTGTCCGCCTTACGCACTTGAAAATGAATCTATAAAAATTCAAATATTATTGAAAAATGATAAAATCTCTACTCAACTTGCTAATCCTACTGTAAGTTATATGTACTATGGCACCGTTTAATCTATGAGTGTGATAATGGAACTCGGTTTGTTTGTTAACTATCTGCAGTCCCAAATAAGCCCGGTTTAACAGTTTGGAATTGAGTCTGTTTGTACTTTCGTGTTAAATCATTCAGTAGCTTTGGACAGGTTTGCCCAGGCAAAATAGTAAAGTACTACGTAATCGAAATTCGATATTCATAATTAGCTTTTTAGTGTAGATATATTTTAATGTATAGCAACACATGGATTACTAATTAGTATGTATTATTAATCGCAAAACAAAAGCACCTCTGAGACTTCTAGTTAAACGCATTTTTCGCTTGAATTTGAATAGGGGAAAATTTAATAAAACATTCAGGAGGCACAGAAATGTGATCTACTGTCGCTGTGTTTCTGCCCGTATCATAGGCCTAAGAAATGTATGTAATGTACTGTAGCAATATTGCTACTAATAAATAATAAACCTCGCGTTTTACATCGTTAAAACTGTTTTATTTACATTGTGTACATACACGTGCCTATATTTCTTACGAATGTTGAAGGTAAAGGTTCAACTACTTTAACTTATAGTGAATGTATTTTTACAACAAGATTAAAATATTCAAACTTCTAAATACGAGCAATCCTCACGTTTTAGCAGTAACAAAAATAACAACTAACAAAATACATTTGAATTATTATCAAAATAGAATTATACCGACGCGCGGCGTAGGTTGATCCTCAAAGTAAATACGGGGAATACAAGATGAAAACACGTGGAGATTATGTCTTGCACATCGAATAGTTTGGCTCCAAATGCCATCATTGAATAAATCCTTTTATCTTTCTTCAATTTATTTATGTTTTTCTCGAGAAATTCTATCAAAAGCAGCTACAGAAAAATAAATAGCCCACACCTCGCTTGTGAAGCGAAAAATAATAACTTCATACAAAATAAATAATATCAAATCGCCGAGCTATAAAGCGGCGGAAGTAATATCACTGAAAAAAATTAGAATAGATAAAAGTTAAGTGAATTAAAGTGTCCCTTGGAAGCGAATAATTTACCCGACATGAATATTTCATACAAAAAGAGGGTATAGTACATTACACTGGCTGGAATTTCGTCGCGGGGAGGTAATTGTGCCGTGGATTTGCATGTGCGGCTTACATTAACGTAAGCATTCAAAATTTCAAAGTGTATTATACAAGGAAATGTAAATTTTAAAAGAACCATCCCAATTAATTAAGAAAGCAAAAAATGTTATGATAACTTTGCTTTCAAATTCCAGCTGAAATAGTTCTTCCACATTAAAAGAGAATCTCACTCAAGGCCGATCAGTTAGAAGTTTTTGTCTCAAAGTAGTGAAGGAATTTAATTTCAGCGTAATAGAATACTTCAGAAAATAATACAAGCGCTTAAAAGCGAGTGGAAAAGTAGGTCGCTACAGAAATACGATAATGCCGCGTCGCCGGTTTCGTCCACTCGGTGTGAAAGCTCGCTGTGAAATGACGCGAGAGCTATATCTATCGTTCGAAATTCGAATGCTTGTAAATATTTCATTGGACTCGGATTGAAGGTAGTTTATAAAAATGTTGTGAATAAAGATTACTCTAGAGAGATGTATGAAAAAACTATGTTTACTAATATGTTTTATTGATATCTCAGGTCAAACGTTGGGTAACCAATAACAAATCTTGCCTAAAAAAATACATCCATGGTAATAAGAAAAAAATATTAAAAAAATGCATTTCCAATAAATAATATTCCCAGAAACTAAAACAAACTAAAGTTTTACCTCTCTCTCTTGTGAATTTCAATTTAAAACCGTAGCTAGGTGGTCGAAATGAATTTTTCCTAAACTCTTCATGGCCAACAAGGACAATTGGCTTAATTGGATTTTACCGGACGGTCCTCGTTACGAGAGGAGAAAAAAATTGAAATATCAATTTGATTTTTAATCCACCCTGCTCATGTAGCTTTGTTTCAACCCGTTGTTGGGACTAATTTGTCAGTTCCGAATGAACCTTACACGATGGCTTTGTGACTTTGTAACTGTCATCCAATTAAAACGCTGATTTTGATTGCACAAGTTAAATATTTTTACGTATTTTAAAATATTTTTTTTTAATGATAGAGGAGGACAAACAAGCAAAGGGTTTACTTGATGAAGAGGTAAGTTACCTTAGCCATATAACAAAAACATACGCTGTCGATGTATTTTGGCTTCGGAAATCCACAGACTGACACCGGAACGCAACAAAGCTTCACGGCTTTTTCATCTGTGACCCGGACAAAATTTCTGTATACCTTAAAAATGAAACCCGTCCCCGACAATTTCTGTGCCCGTTTCACTGATCCGTTCTTTTAACGGGCAAGTGGTTGATCAGACTTCTGTGCCCTGCCCACCAAAGATTTTATGTCTCTTTACGAACCCAGGACCTCTCACGCTTAACGCAATGCTAGGCAATACATTTAACCATTTGGCTACAGAGGCGGTCAATTCTATATACTTACCAACCCATTTAATATCTAGAGTTATATGTTGTACCTGGTAAGGATTAAAACTGACAATGACTGATTAAAACAATGAACCTGCATTGTTGCCATTAGACTAAGAAACGCCCGTCAACATGACGTTCAAAATAATTAAGACGATGAGATGCGAAAGCTACCAAATGTTACTTGAATGCAACGCTTAAAACCAAATGCAGCGTTTAATCTGATTTAAAACGCAAACAAGCGAAAGTCGTGATTTGCGCTGTATTAAAGAAAAAACTTAAAATGCTAAAGGCTGTCCGAGTTTTTAACTAAACACGAAAATGAAAAAAATTAAAAGCGCCCGAATGCTATTTCATTGTTGGTTTTCGTTTTAAAGTTTGCGTGTTTTTTCGCTTTCGTGTTTCGTTTTTCCAGATGTGTTTGGTAAAGAGGGGCCGAGGTTTATTTTTAATGTCATAACGACGTACTGTGCATTAAAATATGGCCAGTGTGTTCTTCACAATTGATTTCACGAAAATGTTGCGCTACTCATTCGTAAATAGCCGTGTCAGCGACTTCGTCCGCGTAGAATCGTCGGGCATCAAAATAGTTTTTTTTGCAAACCTCATCTTTATAAATCATGGCTATCACCCGCAACATTGCCCACGTTAGTCTTGAAAAACTTATTCATTTCAATTCAAAATCTCAGCGTATCTCACGATTCGTTTGCATATGAAAGTACCCGGTGGACTTAAGTTGCTCACGTTGAAAACTAATTTTCATACGTTACGTGATTCTCAGTTTTCATTACTCATGTGATTTTTAAATTTCTTCTATTTCCTTTTTTCCAAAGCCAGCTTCGAAGATATTAAAGCAAGTGCTTCTTAAGTACTCAACTTGAGCTCGCGTAAATGAATATATGAGAGCTATATAAGCAATCTTATCGTAGATTATTTTCTGTGTTTTCAGCATCCCTGGAAAATTAAATTGAACAATTTTAACGGTTTAAAACGTAAAATATAATCCTTAACTTATTTTAAAGAATTTTTTTGTTTTGTATGCTACAATCAATGCCTGCAAATTTTTAACAGTAAATAGGCGGTCAAAATTTGACCGGATCATAACACTCATGTATTTCAGTTTGTCATATGAAAACTCTTTTTCTATTGTAATTCAGTTAGCGATAGTAATGGAAGCTCAGTAATCGAATGTTTCAACTCACGGATAGTCGACCACGCAGCGGATGCTTTTAAACAATTACACCGGCTGTAAGGGTTGTCCATATAAATATTTAAACAAAAAATTCAATACAATATTTTTCACTTACAATGTATTATTGCAAAAACTAGGCTTTTATGCGTGTTAAAGAATTTTGTTTTTTTATTAGAGTGAATAAATGGAATTTAAACATTTTAATAATTTAGCTACCTAAAATGTGTAAAACGAGCTCACTCCCTCGACCCTTTTAAATTTTAACACGGCTACACTTATTACGATATTTTTTTGATTAAATGTAATAATTAGCAAATTCTAAACCGGATTAAAACAAAGTTATTATCCCAAGCCCTCCCAGCGCATACAGCAATACACAATTCAGCTGGTTTAAATGTGATCGTTTATCCAAATGTTTTACTGTTATTAAAATAATTCTACCATAAGCAACAGTCTGCGTTAACGCGAAGGTTTCTTTATTTTTGCCGAGTCTACTGCTAAGTGTTATTGTGGACTTCAAAAATGATTCTACGTTAAACAAATGGGATCTTGCCTTTTCGCCAAAAATTGTTTGGCCGATTATCACTTTCCAACCAACGTTTCGCCTATTTTTCACGTTGACGACTAACGATTGTCAAATTGTTGTTTGACAAAGTTTCATTTGGTAAAATTATTGTTAAGCTGGTCATTTTAATGACAAAAAACGTTTGGGACATCTTTTACAGGAATGACATTTCGTCTGTGTAACAGTTCTCTTTTCGTACATTGATATAATGTTAAAAAATAATAAGATTTTCAAAATGCAGAGCGAAGTTCAGGTGAAATTCAAAGGGAATGGTTGTATCCTGATGAACAATAGCAGAACCAAATCGCTTGGTAGGGAAATGAAAACAAAATTCTATCACAAGTTGCCAAATGATTATTCTGCGAAACGTTTGTTGGCAAATGATAATCGACAAGGCAGAGATCCTAAACAAACATTTTTTAATCCGATGACATCAGGCACAGTTTCTCAAGTTGTAATATTTTTCTCAAACGTAATTTATCGATCCACCGATGCAGATGCCAATGTCACCACACAAGTGCCGGCGCGACCCTGTAGCGAAGACTCCTGCAGTCAACACAGTGACGCGCAAAATGGTTTGTATGGACTGTTTAAATGATATTTGTAACGGGTCTGCCAGTGTCTTAAAAATAACAGTAAGCTATTTAAATAAAACACTTAAACGCGATATATTTCGTATGCTTTACTTTACGTTTCGGATGCTTCACAGTTGCCGTGGTCACGGTCACTGCAAAGCATCCGAAACGTCGGGCCGAAGTTAAAAATCATTTTCAATAAGTTTAAGTAATATACCGCGTTTTAAACCGTTAAAGTGTTTTATTTAAATGTGTACTACTCATAAACGTAAACTATAGACAGTATAACTGTAAGCTATACAAAGAAAAAAGCTCGTACTAGGTGCCTTGATTCTGTTACTTTTGGGGATTACAAGGGCAGTACTTATCTCTAGTACGAGTTTTATAGTTAGCGAAAACGTTGAATGTAATTATAATGTCCGGCGTATCATTCGTAATTTTGATAGCGTCTCTATTGAATAACAAAAGAACTAAAACTGCAAAGGTATAAAAAAAATACTAGCTGTGTGCTGTGTGTAGAATAGTTATTTTGGACTTTAGATAATTTTTTGGGTAACTGTTTTCGCAGCGTACGCAACGGAATAAAGATGGATATTCCCGTTTTTTCCACACTTCCCCCTGTTTCTTCGCTTTTATTAGACGGAGCGTTGTTAAAGCCTTCCTCGATAAATGCTCTCGCCCGCACAAAAATATTTTTTTCAATTCGATTCAGTCGTTCCTGAAATTTGCGCGTTCAAACAAACTCTTCAGCTTTATATATTAGTATAGATTACTTTCAACATTTTCGTTAACAATCGAACCTCATAGGCCCTCAGTCTTTGATCTGAGCCTAGCAAAATGAGAATCAAGGAAACACTTGGCACTTGGCGGCCCTCGTATAACTCGATATACTCGAACCACTATGCCCAGTGCGATGGTGTATCTAGATAATGGTGGCATGGTTGTGATTGTAGTTTTATCGCAAGTTGAATAGATACGTAACGGTGAGTAAGCCTAGAACGATATCCATTTATCCTGTCGCATAGGCTGCTATTGAGGGTAGGACGTATAATTCCAGCTTTTATTTCTAAGCCGTGGTATTTACTTACACGTTCCCCGTATCTATTCGCTTCGCGTAGCACTGTGTGGTACTAACTATTAAAAACTATGAACATCTATTGTCTTCTATACATTTCAACTGACTAGAAACCCACATACTATGTATATTTTGTATTTAGTATATTTAAGACACCACAGCCTACATATCGTTTCAGCGCACTTTGGATGTGTGAAACATGCAACAGTTACACCAGGAGAAACATTATTTTTCTTAAACATATTGTTATTTACAAGAACACAATAAATCATGTATACAAAACACAAGACTTTCATTTGGAGCCTCTGAAACCTTTCCTGCATGTTTAATCAATGTTTAGAATAGACACTGTCTGTACACCTCTGTCTGAAGAAAATATACGATTATATTATATATTATTTAGTATGTACTATGTACGTGTTGTATCTATAAGACTAATGTATTCAAATTAATTTATCACAATTAATTCGTTCCAATTTCAAAAGGGCCGATAAATTATGTAACTAACTTAATAAAATCTCATCTGTTAATTTAACGGCAACTAGCCAACGGAGGAAAGCGATAAATTTTAAAAACTATTTTATAGAGCGCCATAAATCAAGTTTCCTAAAATCTACGATTTTGCTCTCAGTACGGCGAGGCGAAGTTTTTGTTTTAATTATTTAGCAGCTCCAATTTCAGTAAAGTTTTGTGAACGGCGAAGAATTTTTAATTGAACAATTACTCTGTTGGTATTATCTGCAAAATATGTACTGAGCTAATTGGATTCATTATCCCTTTCAGAAAAATATTTTTAGAATGGGAGAGTCAATTATTTTTTTACGTGAGCTAATTCGTGGAACGTGATGTCGCGAAGCCTTTTAAGGGTTGATTTTTTTCAAAGGAGAAATATTTGATAATATGGTTTATGTAATTAAATTTTACTTTTCACAGACATGGACTTTGGCAGCGGCGGTCCGCCACCGGGCATGATGAAGGACAGGCACGGGCCCCCACCACCGCACCATCCGGTAAATATTATTCGAAAAATCAGCATTTTCTTTGAATCGGTACAGCTTATGGCTGTCTCTTAATTAATGTTTAATGGTAGCAATGTATGGCTGGGTTCGATCCCCACCGGGTCCAACGTTTTTCTAATCAATTTATAATTTTTCTAAAACATGTTGGAGTTAGCCTGGAAATGGGCTGGAAATGGAATTAAAGGAATAGAAGGAATATCGAAATCCATCCGAGTCACGAATTACCGTCCACAGATGAAAAAGCCGTAAAGTTTATTCGTGTATATGTTTCCGACTGGATTTCCGAATAGCCATACAGGTCACTTCCATACTTAGTTAACGATGCACCTCAAATCTTTGTAAAACCTCGTAACACGTGAATATTTAAGTTTTCTAAAACTTTTTGAACGTTTTACAAAAAAGCTTTTTAAGTAAAAAAATTTTTTATTTATAATGTTTTTTATGATAGAAACAAGAAGATAACAACAAGTTTCACTGGATGGGAGGCGAAATACCTACCCCAGCCTTATAACGTCTACACAAAATGCGCTATTGTCCTATTTTGGCTTTACATAATTTGGATATTTGTAAGTGGTACCATGTTGTGCTAATTTAACTCGCACTTTGTCGATTTACTTTACTTTCTATATTTCCGATGAGCGATGACAGTTTTATTGTTGATCTTCTATAATCGATTCTTAACACGCCAATATTAATCGCAGCGTGATGGACGCGGCCCTTACGGACCGGAAGGTTATGGCGGTGAAGGCTTCGTCCCTCCGCCCCCAATGCACCACCCTCCAATGCCTCCACAGAACCAGGTAATTATTTTAAAACACTTCTTCTTCTTACGAGTCAAATATCTTTTTTTTTTCTAGAGTTACGCGTACCGATTGTCGCTTTATTATATGAAAATATAAATTAGCCTAATATTTAAATTCTAGTTATACCTATTCTAGGTATGGCATTCATCAACTTTCTATTTCAGGGTGGACCACCACAACAGGGCGGAGTCATGATGGTATATGGGCTAGACCCAACCACGGCTAACGCAGATAGACTGTTCAACCTCTGTTGTCTTTACGGAAACGTTGTTAGAGTAAGTATTTTTATTAAGAGTTGAAATAACTACGATTAGTTCCGTTTCCGTTCCGGTTTATTCACAACAAAATAGGTCCTTTTGTTAACTTTGTATGTTGTATAAAATTATATTGTATATTAGGTTTAAGATATATTAGTCTTAAAGTTTTAAAGTGGTGTGACAGACGCAATTAAGTAATTAAAAAAATCAAAAATATTATCAGATAAAATTTTCTAATTCTGTACAAAGTTACGTATTGTACGCATAAAAAGAAAAATTGACATTCGTAAAAGAACTGATTAGGTTAGGTAGTGCTTATATTGTGCTGTTTTTGTTTAGATAAAGTTCTTGAAGACGAAAGAAGGCACAGCGATGGTGCAAATGGGCGACCCCGTCTCAGTCGAGAGATGCGTTCAAAACCTCAACAACGTCACAGTTGGAGACTACACGTTGACACTCGCGTAAGGAATAATATTGTTTACACGTACATATTGTAACATGCGCTAAAGCATGTACCTTGCAGCAACCGTTGGTAAATCTGTTGCGTTAGATGCAGATGGAAGGTTAACTAATCATTTTGCGTTTGGACCGTTAAAAGTGTTATATTTAAATATATTTTATTTTTCACTATTTTAATTTTGACAGATCATGTGTTTCTCCGAAATTTTATTGACGTCCAACACAATTACATCTTAAATAATTCCAGGTTCTCAAAGCAAGCGTACTTGTCCGAGGTGATGAACCCCTACCCTCTTCACGACAAGTCTCCCTCGTTCAAGGACTACGTTAGCAACAAGAACAACCGATTCCTGACGCCGGCATCTATTCACAAGAACAGGATACAGCCTCCCTCAAAGGTAATTTCATTTACCTCTGCGCTGTTTTGACAAAACAGTTTTTTACAAGGATGTTACCGGAAATACCACTAATTTGTCATTTTCGAAAAATAGGTCCCGGTTTCACGTCACGTATCACGTCGTTGTAGCAATGGCCCTTCGAGCCGGATAAAACAAAATTTTAAAAACGTTTTATTATAGTGTCCTAACTTTTGGTATACAACTAATTTCAGGTAGTACATTTCTTCAATACACCCCCGGACGTTTCAGAAGAGCAGCTTTTGGCGGTGTTTTCAGATTATGGAGTCACGCCGCCGCACACAATTTCAAAGTTTCCGCTTAAGAGCGAAAGGTACAAACACTACTGTGGTTCTAAAATTCTTCCTTTTTTAGGAAGAATACTTATTATTTTGTTGTATTTATTAAATCACTCAAATACATATATAAAATTAACCTAGTCCATAAAATATCCAACAACGTATTAAAAACTTTTTTTATCAACTAGGATGTGAATTAATATTAATTTCATATTAAAAGCCTGATTATGCAATCTCAATTATATTTCTGTAAAGATAATATTTTTGTTATGTCGAGCCTAATAAACTGTGGTTTTAGGTCATCATCGGGTCTGATGGAGTTCCAGAATATATCACAATCAGTGATGGCTATTATGGCTTGCAACCACGCGACTATTAACCACCCAGGTAATCAGATGTTTTTTTAGAAACAAAAGTGACATAAAAATAATCATTTACGACATTCCCTTCGGATCTTTGTCTTAGCTCTGGTGGTGTTGATGATGAATGGCTTGGATAACTAATAACCCTAATTAACGCAAACAATTCAATATTTCAGGTGCGAAATTCCCGTTCGTAATGAAGCTGTGCTTCTCATCTTCGAGACAAATCGGCCAGGGAAAAGGACAGAACCAGAACAAAAACCACAGCCAAGGCCAGAACCAGGAGCAAAGTCAAAGGCAGGGCCAGAATAACGGTGTCGAGCATGATTACTAGTAAGCGCCAATTCATAGTTAGATATAATCGTGTATTATACGGGGCGGTGGAAAAAGACAAGTACCCTCCAATGTGAAACATTGCTATGTTCGATAACATGAGCAAGTGAAGTAATAATAAAAGAATTTATAGGGAGGGTTAATTTGAACGGACCAAAGCAATGTGGTGATGAAGTGAAAGCCAAAGATCTGATGTTACCAATGTACTTTTTGTGACGTCTATTGATTTAACACAGTTGGTTATAGGCAAGTGATAAACATAGTTTTTTGATTTATTAATGCTTTCCTTTTTTGTAGGAGTTCCTAATTAAGAAGACAGGCCTAACAATGTCAAAATACACTTATATTACCGTTCACTTCAACTGAGATTTTCACAAAAAGTACATCTATTATAGTGCTGTATAAATGTTTTTTTTTTCATAATTTGTAAATTATGTAGCTAAAGTTGTGCACAATTTAAATAAAAATAGGATTCTAATATTGTTATTTTGTTCAAATTTTGACGGTAGTTTCGCTATCTAGAGAATGGCCTATATTTTTAAAATAAAGTTTCCAGAATTGATATATGTACTAAATAAGCAACTTTTTCCTACTGTTATTTGTTAAGTAGCCGTTTATTGATTTAATACTCCTATAAAAGGGTTTTGAAATTTTACTCTTGTCGAAAATTTTACGGATTTTTAAACCGAATGTTAAAAATATTTTATATCTTTGACAGTTTGTTGTAGGGACCATAGATGGTTACGTCCTCTATATAATTGCTTGTGCTAGCAGCAAGTAAATGTATAGGAGACAGCGCCCTTTTCTATATGATTACATTTATTTTAATAATAATGAATATATAATAGTATATATTCTTATATGAAATGTATACAGACCTACTTATCTAACTTTTAATATGTTTCCTATTTTAAATTTATCAATTGACACTAGAGCATTTGAAGCTTTAAATTTGTTAAGTTTTTGTTACATACTTTATCGTCCTCGCCATTTTTTCTAAGCCAAATAATTAGCCAAAGTTGTAATAACGTTAACATATTTGAAATAGTACATTAACTTGACACATAATATAAATTGTAAATATAATTGCCGTTTTCAAATTATTTGCTGGTAGTTTTTAAATGTACAATCAAGTACTCAAGTGTCATGTAAAAATAGCGTAATATGCTGTAAATGTAATTGTAAGTATATAATGTTGTATCTATTTATATTATTATGGAAAAGGCCACTTTGCAATCGCTTATACCAACGGTTCAAAAATATGTTACATCAGTGAAAAAATCTTTATGAAACCCTATTTGTCTATTCTACTACATTCTGTTTAAAGTTTGGAAAGGTGGCATAAACATAAAGAAACAACATATCTTGTGATTTAAAATATTTATAATGGTTCAAGTCAATTGGTACCTATAGCAACGCTTAGAATAAGTAAGAATAATATCGTCTTTATAAAAATAGGACAGTCGCGATCGATCACATTTATGAAAAAAAAAACAATGCTTCTAAGCTTTTAATAGATTTATACATAACGCTACATTTTGTAGTCTAAAAAAAGTTGCGAATGATTCGTGCGCGACTGTCCACGCTTTCCCGTCTGACAGATGTCAATTTGAAGATGACATTATGAAATGTCGTGTGCGTGCAAAATAGCTTATTGAGCACCTACATATCAAGAAGACAAATAAATTCTAGGTGTAATATATATAAGCAAAGTACTTCTATATATACATATATACTACTATATATTTTACACAGGCAATGTCCGCCTCCTTTATTTACCTTCTAAATTATAATTTAATTTTTTGTTCTTCTAGCTTTTTGAAACATCATTTACTTAGATTGGTGAAGCTTACGAGAAACATGCATAGTGATGGCATCGATAATTTCACAATTTATTTACTCATTAAATATTAATTACGTAAAAGTTATTTTGCCATTTTAAAATAGTAAAACAAGTTAGTGTTTTTTTCAAAAGTCCCAACTGTTACTACATGCATACTGAAATAAACGTATTTCCTTCTAGTTAAATGGCGTCGTGGCAGCACACAAACACACATATCAAGACGGAAGGCTACACACACATACACAGCCACATCACTACGAGAGCGGGGAAGGGGGGGGGTTTGCCGTTGCCAGTGTACAATAATGTTCACCTCACGAAACACAGTTTTACTTAAATAGAAAATCTAAGTTTCATATGATTCACATCAAAATAAACACTTTGTCAATTTTAAAAAAGGTAAAAATTTTGTTTTTGTTTCAAATGTAGTTACTTAGCTGCTATGTGTATTGGTTTTTTAATCAATGCACAGATATCAAACATTTGAAACAGAATGAAAGGTGAATTTTAATATTGGCAACAATATAATTCCTAAAATATACATTGTGATTTAGATCACTATTATAAAGACATTAACATATAGTTAATTTTAGACACAATAACAAGTTTTTCATGTTTAACACTTTTTTACATTTCCATTATAAACAATTGTTTTTATTTTTCCTTATTTCTGTTTGTATGTAAACGGGACGTCAAAAATGCGTTTGCATTTTTTTATATGTAGTGGTTTAGGTGTTATAATAATTATTCCCTTAATTTCATGATTATTATTATTAGATTTTTTATTTGTCTGTGGTCTGTCCTTTTCAGCAACAGATGGCATTAATCATTTTCCGTTTTAGTGACTGTATTAGACATAGTTCTGTTATTATTATTTAATTATTGCCTATTTGTTTTGTTTTACGTAAAAATATTGTCTGTGCGTATTCTGGTTGTTTATGATTGACAGTTGTGAATTGTACAAGAAATAAAGTATAATAAAATTACGTTGTCTATGTAAGGTAGAAAACCCCGAGTTTTATTTTTATTTCATGCTTGGAGTGTGCATGTTTTTTTTTAGTTTTGCATGCGTTTCGTGTTTACGGACAAGCTGTTTTTTATCAACCAATTCTACTTGTAAGGTTTAGCACTCTTTAGGGTAGTAGTAAGTGTCATCGCGATGTCAATTATATTTCATTAGATGGAGACAAAACAGATTTTCTATAACTTTTGGCCTATGTGTTATTTTAATTGATCTGTGGCAATGTCAACATTATATTTAGTACTAAACGTCCAATTATTTAGAATTTCAAAACAGACAAGTTTAATTAGGTTTAGTTCTGATTTTAGAATTATATAATTTGTTTCTATGTATAAAAGTAGTTATTATGGTGTGAGTTATTGTAGCGTGCTATAGAACTGTTTATGGTATGGCACTTGAAATTGACTTTTTTTCTAAACTTCTTACTAAGCTGAATATGAAATTAATTGTAAACCTTCATAGCGTAAACAGTGTTATAGTAAACACAATAGTCCTGTATAGCTGACATTGTTATCAATGAAATAGATGCATATCTTTTTCTCTAGAAATATTTTCAAAATGAAATAAATAAATGTCTTAGTATTAGAATTCGGTGTCGTGATAGCATTCAGTTTTTGTGTTGAAATTGTATGTTTGAACTATTAAATGATTTTAAATAATTTAAATTAACAATCTAAATTCTGTTAACTACCCTCTTTTAATGTAACTCTTACCTTACTCTTGAACTCTCCTACTGTTTATATGCTTTATTTTAATGCATACTGTTAAAAAATTCAAAAGTAAGGACCCAACATTTAATTCACTTTATCACAAGATTGTTACACAGTAACATGCACGAAACCATGTCAGACTCTTAAACAAAACAGCACTCTAGCAAAACATATTATAAGATAATGTAACTTTTGAGTTTTGTTTTCTGATTTCTTAGCTTATCTTTTGGTATTAGGTAGTAGTTACATGTTTAACATTAAATACATGTCAACACAAATAATCTTTCATTTCAACACAATCATCACAGTCCCACAAATTTTCAAGTTTCAAAATATTCTCAATGACAATTTTAAATGGTCATTGTGTTATATTAAAAGTTTTTGTCATTATTTTCCTTCAAACTACTCAGATCTCACATCACTTAAAAAAAATAAGTTGAAACTCTCCAAATTACACAACATAGCCTGTATAATGTAAAAAGCTGGCTTCAGCTCATATGATTGATAAAATACCCTTAAGGTGATGAAATGTACAGACATGGTCACAATATTATACAAAAAAAAAATCAACCACAGGCATCAGCAATGTTCGTTCAATATGACAACAACGGTTTCACTCAACCTTTCTTTACATAATACAACATGACAGTATTTTACATGAAAAGATATTTTTTAAATAAAGCACAAACGCCGAAACTTGCCTTGTTTGGCTTACATTAATGTCTAGATAGAGTGAGAATATAGGTTAATATGTAAATACGCGAGTGTAGTGTTGAGAGACTTTTAATTTTATTGTAAATTAGGTAAATGAAATATATTTAGAAAGCTGCACGTGATGCGAAAATATGTAAATTGTATAGAAATAAAAGATGTTTTGGATGGGTCTTGTTTTTTCTTATATTTTTCCTCGTATTTCATTTGTAAAAGGATTTTCTTCCGGCAATATACTAACGTTTTATATAAGCTAAGCGCGAAAATTTTAAATTAGTATTTAACATATTATGAATTTGGCGCGTCGCGGTATTTCCAGTCACAATAAACACACTGACAGTTCACGCTGTCAATTGGAAAATGACAATTGACGTCAATGCATTTTTAACAGTGACCTAAACTATGGCGATTCCTATTTCTTGTAATGGTGGCTGCTTTGTGAAACCATGGCTGACAACTTATTCTTTGATTAGAAGAAAAGAAACCTTCAGAAACTAACAAGATTTATTTTTAAGAGGTAGTGGTTATTTTGAAATAATTTATTTTTTGTTATTAAACATATTCCTATATTAATATAATTCCTTTCAATATGTTAAAAAAAAATGCGGGAATGATTATTGATAGTGATAATTTAAAGGTTTTAAAAACTGTTATAGTTATTTTTTCGCTGCGATGTGAATAATTGGATCTAAAAGATCGCAAAATGAGACAAAAAGGTAAATGTTTTTTATTTTGATTACACCTATCAACACAATAAAACGAGATCATTGTATTATGTAATTGCTTGGCAAAATCTAATTTTATAGACACTGAACCGAAGAAATAGGCGGTAAAACTGAGCCTAGAAATCTATTCGAATTTTGAACTTACCACTTCAATAAAACCATCGATTAATATTAAAAATTAATATAGATATCTTAAAATGACCTCACAATTAAGGACTCGTTTATTCTTTTAAGATAAGTTTATTTTTTCTTTTGAACAGGTAATAAAATGCCCAAACATTGCTATATCTGTAATAAGCAGGATGGAGGGGTTGAGAGGACTAAAGTCAATAATATATTTGACTCTAAGGTAAAACTAATTATCATTTAATTTAATAATGTCTTACAATTCCATATTAGATGATTTTTTTAAAATTTATTTTACTTATGTATGTTTTTAGGCTCATGCAATCAATTATTATATATTCATAATAATTAAGCGATATGTATATATTTTAGACAAATCACTACCATCTAAGAGAAACACTCAATTGAAATTATTTATTTTTCAGACTCCCATTTCTGATAAGAAAGTGTGTTTAGTGCTACAGGAAATATCGGGCAAAGTAGTTGAGGAAAAACATAAAAAACGGAATAATCTATGTGCTAAATGCTACAAAAATTTGCTAGAATATGATTATTTACTAGCTCGGTAAGATATTTTCAATATATTTTTGGTAGATTCTATTGGTCAACCAAATACAAATTACCCTTAATAAATTGTGTTAGGCTTTCACAGCCATTGTTTTTTGCATTCAGCATATCATTGTTTTTTGGGCTGTTCTCCGGAGAAGGTGAAGAGGTGCTCCCAACATACTTATAATTCTTCAAGCAAACGAGGAGCTAACAATATCTCCTGCTATTGCCGTCCGTTCGTGATGGCGAAACGTCGAGAACTTCTTCTCGCTAATAGCCCGAGAAACAATTAATGACTAATCACACTTATTGACCATAAAAAAAATCAACATTATTTTATGTGCCCTGCATAATATCAGAATTGAGGGATCATAGAGGTTACGAGACTTTCTATAGTATGTAAGAGCTTTCATTTTAGACACCACTTTTCTTACTTTCAGACTGAATGATATGAGAAAAGGCATAAGCAATAACATAGCCAAATCCGAAGATATTCGTAAAACACAAACTGAAGATGACAGTGAAATAAACAACAGATCCAAAAAAAAAGTAAAATTTGTAGTCCCAGCATCGAAGTTAAAGCCTGTTCCGCCTGGTTTTGATTTGAAACTGAAAAATAATAATTTGTTTTCAACTAAAACCCATCCTATCTCAGTGGTATTTTTTTCAACCTTTTTATGTTTTGTGTTGCTACAAAGTATTTTTTTATTTTGTTTCTCTATTTTTAGTTTGTTTCTTAAATGTTGTGAGATTATGTTAATACAGATTTTATTTACTTATTATTCTTTAACTCAATAGATTTCTTGACTTTTCAGACAAAACAACCAGTACCAATATTTCAGACTCAACAAAAAATACCACAGACTATATCTCAAACAATAGAACCAAACAACCAATGTACAGAAATGCCAATAATACTGCCGAGTGATATATCATCTATTCTAGATAGGAAAGGGTTCAGTTTAGATGATTTAGTTCTTATGAAGGACAAAAATAATGAGAATAACGATGATAGACCTATGGAAATTGATGAAGGTAATTTTTGCGATTAGAAATTTTCTTAAGAATATTATATAACAAATTTAGTCATTTTGAAGTTGTAAATTACAGTTAGATATAGAACAGTTCACTGCCCCCCCGTTACCGATGCTTTCTTGCTGTATAGCAGACCCCTAGGTTATCTTGTGTTCCGCTCAAATTAAATTAACTTATACATTTCTCGTTTTAATCACTTATATGATGGGATCAATTAATACAACAATGTTTTAATCTACATGTGTTGCTTAAGATAAAGTCATTTTTTTTTATATTTTAGATGCAGTTATTGTCGAAGCAGAAAATGGTTTGCTGAGTGTTGTTTCACATCAAAAGCTTTTATATGGCAACTCTGGATTATCATTTGTAATGCCTCAGGATACCATAAACAACCAAGATGAGGATGGGCAAGGTATTTTTTCAACTCTATCACATATAGTAGATATATTAAAAGTAGTTTTTGTTACCATAGACAATTTCTTTTTCTAGATTCAAATTCAGAATCACACATAGAGCTCCAAGTCTCCGGTGACGAAGAGACTGCTAAAGCAATTATCGCTGCAGCTAATGAACAAGGTATTTGAAATATTTTTGAATTAACTACTTTTATGCAAGAGCAAACATAATCGTTATATAACCCATTACGGCATCAATTTGTTTTCTTAAAATACACCATACAACATTTTTGATAATAACTTCTATATACATTTTTTTATGTTATCTAATATTATGTAGTACATACTTACAGATACTAAATTATATTTATGTATATTTAGATTATTTCCGTTCATTTACATTTTATTCTATAAATTTTTAGGCGGTACGTTTATAAAAGTGGACACGGGCGAGATGTTTGAAGTACAATCTGTGGAGAGTAAGATGCAAGACTTCAATAATGGTGACGATGCTCTACGGGTAAGTGTGTTCTAATTCCCCTAAATTAATAATTATAATTTGTTTTGCCCCATACCCAATATGGAGAAAAGTACACTCCTGTAAATGTCCAGATGTGCACAAAGGTATATTTTTGGTTAATTTTGCACTAAAAGGCAAATGAACTCACGAACTCAAGGGGGGTGGAAAAATACAATTATTGTTCTTGTCAATTACAGTTAGACGACGGAAACATGGTGGAAGTTGTGGATGATCAATTTAAATGCTTATTTTGCGAGAGAAACAACACTACGGGTAAGCTATATTTATAAAGAAAAATTCGAAATAACGCAACTTTCAAACCCATAGAAAATTCTTTGACATTTTAAATAGAATGGTTTAAAACATGAAATATATTAATTAACTCATTCACTGGGACCACAGCGTTAGAAAGCATCTCAAACGACAAAATAAACCAAAAATATGTTAACTAATATATTTCACGATTTAAACCGTTAAGTGGTTTAATTTAAACGTGTACTAATATACATTTCAGACAAAACTTGAGATTGCTTTAGCGACGATTTAAGTCATGATTTTAGCGTTAGTAAGGAATGATTTAATATTGAGAAATAATATATTAGTGAATACTGTCTATAGTTTACGCGAGTAGTACACATTTGAATAAAACACTTAAACGGTTTAGATCCAGAGTTTTTAATATGGGATCTCAGGTGTTTGAGAATTTGAGGCCGTCCTCCCTATTGAAATTTCGGTAATTTTTTATTTCAATCGCTTCGCGTACCATTCTTAGAAGATCGCCTCTCCTTTGTCATTAAAAACTTTGGATCCCCATAAACAGCATACCGGCAAACGCGAAGACATAGTTAGTAAATTCTGTAAGGACCCGGCCAGTTTCGCCAAATACCAACTTCGACAGAACAGATGGCGCTAGCGTAGCGATTTTTTACTTTGATGTCAGAGGCATCTTCCATCTTTAGTCTTCCCGTGACCACGGCTGCTGCAAAGCATCCGAAACGTCGGGCCGAAGTTAAAAAACATTTTCAAATAAGTTTAACCAATATATCGCGTTTTAAACCGTTAAAGTGTTTTATTCAAATATTATAGTGTTTTTCTTTAGTGAAATCTGAATCAGTACTTGGTGACGCTGATTGGATGATGAACCACCTGAAGACCGCGCATTCAGCGAGGCTGTACCTCTGCAGTTGCGGCGTTATTATAAGAAAGAGGGCAGACTTCACCGCTCATCTAGGTACTATACTTTTATCTACAACTAGCCGTGTCGGCGACTTCGTCGGCGTAAAATATTTATTTTGACCATATAAATTTGTTTTTGCAAACCTCCTCATCTTTATAAAATACAGCTGACGTCGGTCGCGTCCAGTCGTTTTTCCAAGTTAATATAATAATAATAATATTAAAAGAGACATATTATAATGTCGCGGACATCTTTTTAAAAATGTAAAAGAGGAATCATCATTTTTTGGGTATCTTGAACATTTTTCGGATCGCAGGCAACAAAAACCCTCAACGATAAATATTTTTCCCCTTTTTTTTCCCCATTTCCCACTTTTTGTGGCGATGTTTATAGAGACCTAGAGATTTTCTTCGATGAATGCGCCTAACCAACATAAAAAAAATTTTTAAATTCGAGCCAGTAGTTCCTGAGATAAGCGCATTCAAACAAACAAACTCTTTAGCTTTGTATATTAGTATAGATAAATAAAGAAAACCTTTGTTTTCAGAAATACACGCAGATAAAAATAACATTCTCACTCCGCAGACAGCGGAAAGGTTGGGCAGACAACACGAGTGCCAAGTTTGTAAGAAGAAATTCAGGTAAGTTTTAGGGGGGGGGGGGATAAGCACGGGATTCACTTGATGGTAGATGAAATACCCCGGACAAATAACATCTCAACACATTCAGATAGCTAAAGACCCTTTATATCTTGGACAATGGTCCCTTTTTATTTGTGGACAATGGTTCATTTAATATCCAGATTTCCAAACGAATTTCAACAGGTATCAGAAAAATTATACATTGAGAGAACTGGTGGTGATCGAACCCACAATCTAATGATTATTAGCAATACATTACTATCATATACTGTCTATAGTTTACGCGAGTAGTACACATTTAAATAAAACACGGGGTCTCCCCGTGACCACGGCTGCTGCAAAGCATCCGAAACGTCGGGCCGAAGTTAAAAATCATTTTCAAATAAGTTTAACTAATATATCGCGTTTTAAACCGTTAAAGTGTTTTATTTAAACATTACTATCATTTTTATTTCAATAACGTACATTTTCTTTAAATAATTCATCACTAAATATAATACTACATATACCTTGTGCTGTCATAGGTAACTTAGAAAACCTAATGTTTTGCGAACTTAAATAAAAAATTAACAAGCTTCTTATTACATTACAGTTCTCGGCTCGTGCTCTCCGGTCACATGAACACACACACAGGCAACCGGCCGTATACGTGCGATATTTGCAATAAGTCCTTTGCGTCTCGATACTCGCAACAAGCACACATGAAGACACATAGTGTAAGTATTTATATATGAGGCTGGAGACAGACTGGCCTAATAACAAAAACATGATTTTCAATAAGGAGAAAAATAAAAATGCGCATTTAACTTAGGTGTAAATGAAATTGTACTATTAATTGTGTTAGCAATATTCGGTGACTGTTCTCTTGTAGATTACCATTCTTAGACTATAGTAGGGCCTCGTTAATCCGGTGACCGGTGTCGGTAAAACAAGACTCTTTTCGGATTATCGCGGTGTCCACGACACTGACGAATGGCGTATTGGCAGTGTAGGTGCACACTCACCGGCCTCCCCCACTCCCCCCGCAAATCCCATTGCCCGGCCGGATTATTGGGATCACCAAACAAGAGGAGGTCCGGATTACCGAGGCCCTACTGTATCGGTTCCGCCGGTCGGGGTCCCCCCCGGGGGGAGGGGCCCCCCCCAAAAACCCCCCCAGGCCCTACTGTATAACCATATAAATAACTTAAGTCATAAAATTGCAGTTAAGCTAGTCTGTCTTTAGCGGCCTCATATATATATAACTTTTTACTGACCTGGCAAACGTTATTTTGCAGAGAGGAAAAATATTAAATTACAAAATGGCTATTAAAAAATAAGGGTTGATCGTAGAAGGGTGAAAATTGAGATTTATATTTATCAAAAAAAATAGAAATAAAAAATTTTGTCAAAAAAAAAATTAGGGTGGATACCCTAAATTAGGGGATGAAAAATAGATTTGGCCGATTCTCATAGATACCGGATAAGCACAAAAGATTTATCAAAAAAGCCTTTCGGAAGTTTAAGTTCGAACACCGTGACACGAGAATTTTATATATAAGATGTTATTAACAGACTTCAAAAAAACTAGATTCTCAATTGTATTCGTATATATTTTTATTTTATGTTTGTTCACGCTTTACTGTTTCTTGTTTGTAACCGTTTACGAAACTTTTTTCTGTGTTGTTTATCTCAAAATATACAATAAATATAATTTTCATTTAACGTTATTAAAATACATATTACTTTGTACGAAGTAATATGTGTTTTGATGTTGTTCACGAAGTATATTTTTTCCCCGTCTAGGAAAGACCTCGTCCTTACAAATGCACGGAATGTGGCAAATCATTCTTCACACCACACAACCTCGCGCACCATCAAAAGATCCACTCCGGAGTAAAAGATTTTGTCTGTAAAGTCTGTGGTAAGTTTTATGTTATGGGACTGCATACATGGTTCTATTGAATGAATTGGGTTTACGTTAGAGGTTCGAATCCCTTGAAACATTATGTGAATCAAGCTTGTTTTAGTAATTTTCATTTTATGGTCAAATCATTTTTTATTACATTATTTCTTGTTGACCATAGAAAAAAAATATTTCCAGGTAAAGCTTTTGGATCTCAACACAATCTGGAAGTCCATGCCGTGGTACATTCAGGCGTTAAACCGTTTGTCTGTTCTGTCTGTAATAAGGGTTTCGCAAGACGCGCAGAAGTCAGGGATCATATGCGAATACATACAGGTAATGGGAATTCAATTGTTTGATAGCGTTCTTACGCTAGATAGTGCTTAATAATTTTAATAGATTGACATAGAACATTAAGTGTGAAAAGTTTCTAAACTTTAAAACTATACTAATTCGAGGTACATAATAATTGTGTAAATTGTATATTACGACTGAACGTATTGGACATTCTTCGGAAGACAGATAAAGTTAGGAATAAATAGCTTTTTAATTAGCCAACATTAGTATTTTTCTAAAAATGCTATTTTAAAATATAAAAATACTATTTTTATATTACTATTACCCGTCAGATGAGAGAGAAAAAAATACCTGATAAACATTGCATAGCATAATTAAAAATGTAAGGTTGTTTGTAGTTGCCGCTAGATGGCGCTTATTGTGAATTATCCTGAATCGCGCTAACGATATTTTTCTCTTCCCTAAGTATCTATAGAAGTTTAATGTCACTTAACAGTGTACTCGCTTCGGCAGTACATATACTAAAATTGGAACGATACAGAGAAGATTAGCATGGCCCCTGCGCAAGGATGACACGCAAAATCGTGAAGCGTTCCACATTTTTTTGGATAAATTTTCTAGTATACAATTTCACCCCTGATTTTCTGTTTAACTACAGTCATTAAGCAATTTTAAACCAAAATAACAATATCCTCGATACTTTAAAAACATATAATTTAGTATATTATTCTTCATACTAATTTTTTTTTTCGAATTAATAAAATTTATTGAAGCCTCCAGTCACTAACCCTGACTTTTTGATGAAAAGTAAACTTCACTAAATGACATTTATAACTTTAATAACATAACGTGAATCAACAAATAAAATCGTTGTTAGCGTTCTTACATAGTTTCATAATTTAAAATGTATAGAATGTATATTTAAAATCTATTTCGTTTTCTTTTGTAACGCTTATTTTTTATACATAAATACCTTAATTAATATATTTAAGGTTATATTATTTATTAAAGGTGAACGCCCATTTGAATGCGAGCATTGCGGCGCAAGATTCTCTCAACGCTCCAACTTACATTCGCATAGGCGAGCTACACATTTGAACGACAAGAGGCATCAGTGTCCTCACTGTACAAAGAAATTTAAACGGCGGCGGTAAGTGTCTTTCTCGTTATTATAGTGTTTTGTGTGTGTATCTCTTTAGGAGCTTAGATATGTGTGTGTGTGTGTGTGTGTGTATGTATCTTAAAATACTGCAAATTTATTCTTTATTTCTTAAAAAAATACGTTTTGTTTGGATTTTCGTATCTTGTATGTTGATGTAAATAAATTTTACTTTATAACTTATTTATTATGATTGTAATTACTTGTATAATCTGAAATCCCATGTTTTCTATGTGGGGTATAGGGTTGTGGCAGACATTTCTGCTAATTTCACAAATCGATTTTTATTAATTTCTGTATGCTGATTTAGATTTAAACCGTATAAAATTTGAAATATATCTATTAGTAAAGCCTTGGTCACGAAGAGACTCCCCATGTTGCAAATCATCCAAGACGTCGGGTCGTAGATAGAATAATTTTCAAATAAGTTTAATTTATATATTTCTTGTTTTAAACCTTTATAGTGTTTTATTTAAATGTGTGATGGAATTCGAACCCAGAGCGAAGTAATATTATATTTCTCCTTAATCATGTTTGAAATTGATTTCAGTTTACTAGAATACCACATAAAATCCAACCACACTGGCGAGAGGCCACTCAAGTGCGAACTGTGCGATGCTTCGTTCATATATCCGGAACATTACAAGAAACACGTCCGAATACACAGTGGGGAAAGGCCATTTGCATGCGAGGTAAATAAGTTTATCATTTTGTATAATTCGAAGTTCGAAAATATCAACAGTTTACATTTTAAGATTTTTAACTTCGGTGGTGGAGTGGGGCCGAAGTTAAAAATCATTTTTAAATAAGCTTAACTAATATATCGCGTTTTAAACCGTTAAAGTGTTCTATTTAAATATGTACTACTCGCGTAAACTATAGACAGTGTTTAAAGTTTAATTTACCATATAATTAAACACTTTTCACTATAAAACACTTTTTTAAGAGTTTTGTACATCTGTCGACCATTGTCCGGACACATTTTCAATATACATATCAACTCAATATCGAGGATACACAGCCCGTTAGGAACCCACAACCCGTTGATTGTGCCTCACTAGCCATACAATGCAAATAGTAATTAAAAAAAAGACTGTATATGCTTTTAGTAATGGATAATATGGAATTCAATTTCCATTTTTTTATTTTGCAGTCGGGTAGACACAGTAGGGCACAATAGTCTTAACTAAATGCCCTACCGAGTCACATATGTCATCGTAAAATTTATTTAACCCATTGAGACATGCACCTCTCGTAATGCATTGGAATTTCAACCTTAATACGCACGTATTGAGGTTCAATGTTCTATCGCAAAAGACCCCCCCCCAACCTTTTACCCCTCTATCGGGTTCCATTTTTTTCTCTAAGTTTTTGTATGTTTCTGGACTATACATTATTTTAACGTTATAACGTTCCAGGTTTGCGGCAAGAGCTTCAATTCGCGCGACAATAGGAACGTACACAGATTCGTACACAGCGACCGAAAACCGTACGAATGCGTAATTTGCGGCACCGGCTACATGAGGAAACATTTGCTCTACCAGCATATGAATTCTACGGTTAGTCTATAGCATATAGCGAAGAAAAACATTGACAATTGAATGACAAAGAAGAACAGACAAGCATGGGCTGGTCCGTCTCCCGGTTCACTTGATGCTAGGTTGAATGCGACCGATTAGAAAAATGTTGGACCTGGTGGGGATCAAACCCCGAACCCGTTTTTATTATCCATACATTGCTAGCATTAGACCAACGAGACCTTCAAAACCATAAGTTTCTGGCCAAACGAGATATTTAACCGACTTAAAAAGAAGAAGTCCTCAATTCATTATTAAATTATTTATTTATAATTTACAGGGTCACATTTCCGAGTCCATCGTTGTGAATCAACCGCGCGTTAGCGAAGTGGAAGATGAGGTAACTTTTTTTTTTGTTTTCATCGCCGATTACGTGAATAATTTATCTTATGTAAAATGTATTTTACAGGAGTCCAAAGTTCAATCCATAATTATTAGTGCAGATAACAAAGACGGCAAAATTATGGATACTGTAAGTTGAACCGACTCAAAAAAATATATATATTTCTTACTCTCATATGTACAAGGGGAGAGGGGGAAACGACTCGTGATTGGTTGAAAAACTAGTAGTTGACTCGTGTATGAATGATGATGCTAACAGACAGGATATCAGAGTTTTAGGAACTAAAATAGTTCGATTTATTTTCTATTTTTATAATTCACATGTTATATTGCACGCGATTGCATTAATTAACAAACATCTCTTAACATTGTAAAAAAGAAGCGGACTCGTACCGACACCCACAGCGTTCCGTGCCGCTGTTCTAACCATTTAATGACACGACACTCTCTCGTCGGAGTCATAGACTATTTTCATTTTATATTTTTTAAATATATAATTAAAAAATAAATATGTACATAATTAAACTAAAATCTCACCGATTTCAATATAGAAATTAGATTTGACTAACGTTACCTCATGTGTTTTCAGGTTTTTGAAACGGATGAACTGCAGGTCTTAGCCGCCACCGAAAAGGGTACGTTTTTATTGTACATTATATATAAGTAAGGGTAATATTATAATAAATTCTTTATTATAACATAATTACTCTTCGTTTGAAAACTTCATTGTTTTTCACATGTTATTGCACATGAAGAGTAAATATAATTGAACCGGCATCGTTAGCGTCTTGTGCTGTTGCTCTGAACGCTGACGATGCCGGTTCAAGTCCTGCCCGAGCCGAAAATTTTTTCAATTTATTTTCGATTTTTAAATTATATTTACTCTTCATTAAACCTTTATCAATACATTTATTTATTTTATTTATAATCAAATTGATCATCTTTGTAGCGTGCCCAAACAATTTATTGTTCCCCTGGTTCAAACCCACGACCGTTCTCGTTTAACGCAATGCTAAGAATGCACCTTTATAAAACTGTAAATATAAAAATGTTATTAGAGCAGCAAAATCGATACTTTCCATGTAAATATGCTCCCTAATATTGAAAATATCTTTTTCAGGACCAACGGAAACCGTCAACGCGCCGACCCAATACATCTTGTCTGCTGGTAAAAAACTTACGACATAAAAAATAATTGCTCTTTTGAATTCCCATTTTGAAATAAAAAGTATTCCGATAATAGTTTTTGTGTGACAATCAAATATAGTAACATAAATTGAGGATGCTAGAGGCAGAGTGGCCTAATAACAAAAAACGTATAGGCGTCTGTGCCTAGTCGCCTCAATTCGAGTAGTCGAGGAGATTTTGTCTTCAACATCCTAGACATAATCCTATAGACGCAAATAAGCCAACTTTGTGTTACTACATTTCAATGTTTGTTTATTAAATATTACTTTATTACAAATGTCTTTTTCAGGACATAAAGCGATGAATATAATTCAAGAAAACGAAGCGCAAATAGAGGACAACACTTACATGATACGTATGTACCTTTTTTGTTAAAATTACTTCTCTGTATAAAAAAATACAATTTATTTTTTGGACGTAAAAATACAGTTACTATTTACTACAATATATATGTATATAATTTATTAAAATACATTTATTTGTTCCTTTGAAAATCCTATTTAATTGCTTTACTTTAAAAAAATACGAATAAATTAATAACGCGGACGAGGTGCGAACTCACGACCCCAGTGATTCGTGCTGTTGCTCTTACCAACTAACCATGTCAATATCATGGTGGTTGTGAGTTTGTCTTATTATTTTTTTCACTCTATATTAGATTCGTAGTAAAAAAATTGGAAATGACAAGTTTTTTTCTAACTTGCCTATTTCATCTAACCTTGACATATTAAAATAAAAGCAATAAATCTTTTTCATTTTTAGAAAACTTTGAGAATTCTGAACAGATAGATGGCACTGTACTTGAAAACCTTACTACCGAGCAGCTGGAAGAATCGCCTGTAAGTTTTACTATATTAGAAGAGAAGAATTTGGTCTCATGTAAGATAATAAATTACATAGTGATAAAAATAAATTGTTTTTCCAGGTCTTAAGTGACGGTAATAGCACTTGGCGTTTCTTTCAAGTTCAGCTGTCTGATGGTGAGTCCGGTTGGGTTGCAGTCGGTCAGTAAGGTACATGCGCGCGCGCATAAATAGAAATACAAACATCCTTATCGAAGTTCCTTAGAATTAGTAGTGAATACATTGTTGTTGCAAGTATCGAATGACATTATTAATTTATTATTGTGTATATTTTATCATTATTAATACAAAATCAAATAGACTAATATTTTACAATCTATTATTGATATTTATATAAGGAAGCAAAAGGTATGTAGTCAAATTGCGACGTGTCCGAGGGACCTTTTTAAAAAGCGAATATATTTATTAAAACTAGACTTAACTACTGGTGGTCGATGTTAGACCTTACTACTAGATGGTCGATATCAGACTGAATATAATTCTCACCGTTCCACCATCCCAACTATGATTGTTTATATTTAATATTCTGAGAACTCTAAATGAAGTATGCTTAGCCAGCTCTTAAGTCTGGAGTGTCGATTGCTATATCCTTAGTGTGGGATGATGTAACTATGTAGTTTTGAAGGGAATATTGTATGAAATCTACTACTCATTAGCAACAAACATGTCAGTTATTAATATAATTAAACAAATGTAAGTGTCTAACACATGAGTGTTCTAATATTGCCATAACGTTAAATTCGTTGGATGTCAAACTCGTTATCGCTTTGTAAAATATGTCTACAAGTCTACCAAAGGTCTGTAAAGTCCCCAGATTATTTCTGTAAATAAAGACTACTTTTAAGGACATGTTTTATTAGATCCCAAAGTACCAACACTGTACAATAGCTTAAATTAAAATAAAGAAATAAGAGTTAGCAGTAAAACGTTTATTATAAACAAAATAAATTTGATAACAGTTTCATAAAACTTGTTGCTTTCCCCTTGTTATATTGATCTGAAACAGAATTATTACTTAATGGTTTCTATAAACTTATTTAGTGTATCTGGTTGTAGCAATGTACGTAGATAAAATATATATACATACCACATACAGATTTAGTTGCAAACAGTTCCTCGGCAAGTGTCGCCATATTGCGGACAGGGACGATCCGACACTTTTAGCGGCTCGCACTTGGCGCAGACTTGAATTACTCTGTATTGAAGAAAAATATGTTTTAATAATACTTTAGTGGTTTAAACTTTAACTTATTTAAAAATTATTGTATATTAGGTGTGTATACTACTCGCATAAACTACAGACAGTATTTAAATTGTTTATTTACGCAAGAGTAAAAATAATACGCCAAAGTTACTAGGAGTATATAAATAAGCAGGCGATGACTGTAGTAAGAAGTTGTATCCAGTTAATCGTTTTGTGTTTCTTTGAGCCTAGTACCCCGCACCGACCATTCCTAGCCGAGATACGGGCCCCGCACACCGACTTACGCGCAGAGTACAAAGGAGGCGGTGGACACACCCCAAAGCCATAACCAATCCACTAAAAGGAATTATACGATGAATTCGCAGAAACATGGCTGCGCGCTAGCGCATTGAATAATGAACGTCCCTCGAACTCAAATAAGCCTAAACAATCGAAAATTTATGACGATGTTTTTGTGACATTTTGCAAGGAAATAAAATACATTTTATGCACATAAACAAAAAGAAATAATGATAAAACGAAAAAGTTCTTGGTCCAGCAAAACAGCAGACTTGACTCTCTGGAAAAGTCCATATCAGATACCCAACTTGTCAGTTTTGACTAAACGCAATGGAAATCTAAATTTACGTATTCGCTATCGAGGATCAGCAGGAATACATAATAAATCTTTTAATAAAACCTGCTTAGAAGTGAGGAACGTACCCAAGACAGACCGATCCTTTAAAAATACGCGGCATGATCTTGTTCTGCACCTGTGTAAATCTTTAAACATCTCAGTGAACTCAAACGACATAAGAGATGTCACTCGAGTTACCAGCAGAAGAGATTCGCTTATGGTGGAACCGTCTAACGCTCGCAAGAAGGATACCCTTAACGCACTCAAGAAATTCTCGGCATAACAGGAATCTTACAACTACCACTAAGTTAAAAAATATTTACGACGACGTGTAGGACTCGGTAGCTCAAGTGGTTAGCATCACTGACCGCTGTGGATGCCGGTTCAAGACCTGTTTGAGCCGAAGAAGTTTTAAATTTTTTTAATGACACAACGAATAAATATCAGAGTGTTAGAATCTATTAGATTTAATTATTCGTTGTGGCTTACCCATAGTCACCCTTTTCCATCCATTTTGCGTCTAGGGCGTTTAATTGTTCCCATTTACCCTTCGGAAGGCCACAGATTAAATCCGCTTTTACTGTGCGCAGTGCAGCTACCGGCGCAGGCAAGAAACCTGCAATAAAGTTTTATTATATTGCTACCATTAAGTCAATGAGCTCATCGTCCTTAATTGGACTATGTATTAGATCGACAACAGTTCTTTATAAAAATGTGAAGAGGTTTTAAACAGCCATGTCAATTTACAAAAGAATTCTTGTAACTAAAAAGGTATGCGTTTGAGTATTCTATGTAAATCTTTATGTTAAAGTCTAGAGTACCTTGTAGAGCAGGTTCGAATCCCGTGGTAGGATTCCAATTCTTCTCGCCGAGCAGTTTCCTGTAGTTGAGGTCTCCCTTGAACAAAATGGCCGCTGCGAACTGTAGCTTTCTATACAAATCTGGGTCGTATCGCTTCATGTCTTTGTAAACGTGAGGGGACGTCCAAAAATCATCACTCTGAAACCAAAACGTATAAAGCTTCAAAAGATACAAGAATCACATTCTATGCAAATCTATACTAATAATAAAGCTGAAGAGTTTGTTTGTTTGAAGAGCTAATCTCAGGAACTACGGGTTCGAATTGAAATATCTATCGTCTACCAAAGGCTAACTCACAAGAACCACGAAAGTCCCATCTTGTACAAACTTGTCCCATTGCTCTCCCAATTGCCTCAAACTATCCGCGGAGATGACGCGCGGGGGATCCGGTTCAGTTGGCGCTTCGCCCTCCGCGGGCTCTGGAAAGATCATATTACAGGGTAGTAAGATTGTTTCTAAGAAAACATTAGTGTAATTGTTTTTATCTTTATTTAAGGAATAGTTTTTCTCTTTCCCACAACTATTTACAAAAAGCTATAATAGTTAGTCATTTGTTATCTTTATTCATCTTTCTATTAACTCTGCGTTTAATTAAATGAAAAGTAAATAATTAATTAGATGGAATAAACCGGAAAAAACGGGTTTTGTTTCTTTAAATATTCTTACCTGGTTTAGGGTCTGGTGGAATTTCTCTTTTATAATTGCCTCGAGCACACGAGCTTATTACGAATCTGTGAAGAATGTAAATTCAATTAATCAACCAATACTTAAGATATCCTTACACAAAAAGGTCGCAAGTTCGATTCGTACTTGTTAATATTCATTTATAAGTGCGACTTGTAATTGTAAAAATAAAATGACGGAAAACTGTACAACCAGTAGTGTAAAATATATAGTCGACTGCGCGTTATGTTCTATAGTAATTAGTATAGTTTAGAAATACTGCCCTTACTTGAAATCCCTAGGAGTAACATCAGACACGAACCAAGGGATCTTTTTCACGTGAAACCGAACCTGCAAATATATCTACATTATTATGTATATCTATATTAGTACATTAGATATGTACATTAAAATTAGCAATTTAAAATGTAAGTATTTTTCTTTTTTTGTGATAAAAATTATTTCGGGATTACAAATAGAATACTAAATCAAAAAAATGTATATAAATATTTTAAAATAATTACCTTTTGTACAATTTTTTGTGCAATCAAGAAATGTGCCAAGCAGAGGTCGGTGAAGAGTTCATATCCGGAATTATCACAGACTATATCTGGAATGTACGAGAAGAATATTTTAATTAATATAAATAAGATTCGTTTGTTCTGAAAAGTAAATTATATAAGAATAAAACGACACCATAGTATTAAAATTTGGTGCTAAAAGATCAGCAATTTCTAAACAAATATAGTATTGTCTGTAGTTCACTCAAGTAATGTACATATAACGGGTTAAAACTCGAAATCTGTTAGTTAAACTAATTTACAATTTATTTTAATTAGGGCCCGACGTTCTGTATGCTTTGCAGCAGCCGTGGTCACAGAACATTACATATTTTTATATAAAAAAATATTATAACCTGCGACTTACAAGAAATACATAAAATAAGTAGTCGTACCAAACATAACATCTTGAGGTATTGTGAACTTGGCTGGACATGGGGGTACTTCTGGTGGGGCCTCCCCTTCAGCAGGTTCGGCTTCCGGTGGCTATAATATGTTTTTATTTTTAATATAGCCTTATTTGATTAAACGAACCCTTTTTCTAACAACGATGATATTGTTAATTCTTATATTGTTCTTATATGTATTACATACATTATTATATATGTATATAAAACAATTACAAGAATGTTTGTATTTTAAAGATAACACAATTATTCTGAATACTGTCTATAGTTTACGCGAGTAGTACACATTTAAATAAAACACTTTGGCGGTTTAAAACTCGATATAAAATTATATAACGCTACTTTAACTTATTTGAAAAGGATTTTTAACTTCGTCCCAACATTTCGGATGCTTTGCAGCAGCCGTGGTCACGGGGAGACACCCCCGCGACGCGGTGGTCTCCCCTAACTAATATATCGCGCTTTAAACCGTTAAAGTGTTTTATTTACAATTAGTCTGACTAAATAAGTTCTTTACGCAACTAAATTTCTACTATAAAATTAAGTTACTTATACCGCACTACAAGTTTTAAATATCAACGCCAAATACAATGCTTAAACCAATTTCATAGCATTTGAACTATAAATTAATTATAAAGATTACTTTTTCATCTTGCGGACATATAGGTATGCCCGCCAGAGTGGCGAGTCTGTTACAACTGCACTTTGCTTTTAAAGAGGTGCTCTGAAACGAGGTTTTATAACTTAAAAGTTATACTTTGCGTATGCAATACTGGAAGTGGAATATTCCATACAAATACTCCATCTTTATTTATAAAACATACCTAGTATAATAATTAGAGTTATCTTTGCTACCCTGTGAACAATTTCATTTTATTGTTGACTGTGACAGCAGTAGTTTTTATCGTGTGGTATGCAACGGTATGATCTTGTTTACGATTAATACGTTAATCGTAATTTTTGAAATAATTACGATTCATGTATATTTTTTACACATTAGTTGTATTAAGGACAAATATACCAACCCCCTCAATAGCTTTTGCGATGTTTTCGCCTCTCGATACAACTAAATCAGCAATTTTGGCTGAATCGTCTACTAGCACCTGGAAATATATATTATGTATAATTATTAATCTATACTAATATATAAAGCTGAAGGGTTTGTTTGTATGTTTGAACGCGCTGATCTCAGGAACTACGGGTTCGAATTGAAAAATTATTTTTGTGTTGGTACTATGATATAATAGTGTTTATCGAGGAAAGCTGTAATTATTTACCATATCAAGTTATACCAAAATTCGTTATAAAGAGTAACGGACAAAGTGTTTACATTACGTTTCTTTAAAAAAATGTATACAGTTACTCATATCGAACAGACCTTACAAACTTACTTCAAATCTTCAATTACCTTGTCTTTAAGATCTAATATCATTTGAAATGGGTCAAGAATGTCTCTAGAGGGTGTTTTCTTTACAGTACCCTCGTTTTTTAACGTCACTTGTTCGCCCATAGATAACGATAAATCACATTTGTTGGACCACAGACACACCTGCAATGAGAATAAAATAATTAAATAGTAAATTATAAAAATACATCTAAATGAACTTTCAACGGTTTAAAACGCGAAACATATTCTGTTTTTTTTTTATTTTAACTACGTTTCAGACTGAAGATGGAGGGTGTTTATGGAATCTGCTACGATAACGCCATCTATTTTGGTGTAGTTGTACTTTGTAGTATTTAGCTGAGTTCTTACAGAACTAACTGATAGCGTTCTCTTGTTTAAAAGAAGTCTCTCTCCATCTCCAGTACCTCCCCATGACCACAGCTGCGCGTGCGCATGCTTTACGCATGTTTCGCCTTTTATACAGTTAAAAGTTGTATTTTAACATGATAATATTTAAATACACTTGAACGGTTTCAAAGGCGATATATTCTAGTTAAACTTTTTTTTAAATTATTTTAGCTACTGCCCGACGTTTCTGATGCTTTGCAGCAGCCATGCCATATTGTATTGCCATATAATTGAATCAAAGACAAAAAACATAACAAGGTTTGTTCATAACTGTGGTGGCATACAAACTGTTAAAAGTAGGATGGTGCATGGTTTTGTATTTTGATTTTTACCTTAAGTAAAGTGATAAAATCAGCTTTCCGTTTATCCTTATCACTCTCAGGTAGCATACTGATAAGTTTTTCAGCAACTACACACATTGGCTCCATACTATTGTTGAAAGACTGGTCTTTCTGCTCATCAAATGGATCAAAATTAGCCAACGTTTTTCTGAAACGGACAATTACTTTATGAAGGACTTGATCTTACTACTACAATACTACAAATATTAAACTTAATATACACTTTATTATAAAAAATTATAGTATATTATACTATTTGTACGTTACACGAGTAATACACATTTAAACAAAACACTCTTAACGGTTTGAAACGTGAAATAAACTAATTACTTTATTACGTTATTCTCAAATTATTGTCCCCCCGTCACCACGACTGTGTCGGGCTGTAGTTAAAATAAATTGTAAATAAGCTTAACCAATACATTTCGTGTCTTAAACCGTTAAAAGAGATTTTATTTAAATATGTACTGTGCATTCTAACAAAGTTCTATGCGGCTCTACACAAATGCACATATTGTGTACCATAGTTTTTTTTATTAAAAATCGATTATACATTGAATAAAAATTAAGATTTGAGTGGGACTTGAACCACAGCGTTCCGTGGTATCGTCCTAACCAATTGAGCTACCGAGTTGTACATTTTTTTCAATTTATATTGGATTTTTAATTTATATTGTGCCATCATGTCCAATAACAAGTAAGAGATATAAAAGTTTTCATAGCTTATATTGAGTTTTCGCAGCCCTATTTATTTATCTAAAGTATATTTCTCATTTAGACATAACTTACGTCGATTCACAACCTTCTCGCAACCTCCTATAAACATAACACTCGGTAAACACCCATGTATTCATGAAATAGTTTTGGGTTTCACAACTCTCTATCCACTTGTTCCATCTTTGGGCTTCAGGAGTGTCAACAGTGAGAAGATCGTATTTCTTATTTGTTACCAAGTCGTTTTTTAGTTTAGTTACGTACTGTATATAATTGCGTATGTCTTCGTCTGACTGAAACAAATTAAAGAGATTGTAATCTAACTAGCGATTCGGTAGTTAGTTATAAATTTTTGTTTAATATGTACTTACAGCGCCATTTCCTGATTTTATTTTGTTCCCTTCCCTTGAAAGATAGTCTATAACTTTAGTTAATATCACAGGCATGCGTTCTTTTAACGAGTAGTACGCGAAACTCCTAGAAAAATAAATTTTACCTTAGCACAAAAGCCAGAGAAAAAAATATTATTCAAAAAAAAAGTAACAGTTAATTTCAAGTATGGAAAAAGCAATGTAACTAAGAAATTTCACATTTAATTGAAATGAAAAATAAAAAGTATCGCCCGAACAGGGACTTGAACCCTGGACCCTTGGATTAAAAGTCCAATGCTCTACCGACTGAGCTATCCGGGCTATATATAGGTAGACGAAATTAGCCAAGAGTTTCTAAGTCTCGACTGTTAAAGAAAATATAAACATTATTTAATAATAGTTTTACCAGAAAAATTATTAATTTACCTAAATTTGCGTCACTATAATTGTAATTACAAGATACAGTTATTGTTATGACTATATAAGGTAGAAATCATGTCTTATTATTATTTCTTTATAAAATGGTAATAATTGAAAAAAGCCATAGCTTAAATATAAGCTAAGGCTGACCTAACCTAACCATCTACTGACGTTTCAGTCCTCACTTAGTCAAGAAACACGAAAAAATGCTTGATGATGTGATGGAGTAACACACAGACCAAAATCTCCAGTGTGACAGCGGAACAGCTCAAAAAGCCAAGAAGATTTGCAAGTATTATTTTAATAATTTTCTTCTTAGGCAGATGTATATAGGCTAATAGTTGGGGATTTCCATGATTTTGAATTAACTTATTACTTACTATAACTTTAAATCTTACCGCTGCGTATTAAGGTTTATATTTATACAAAAAGTGTAATTGTTATGTATTTACAATTGAGATAATAATTATATTACATCATCCATCATGATATTGACTATCATTTAACCTGTCTGTGCATGTATACTTTTAATTAATTTTAATGATCATGAAATTTTCTTTTCCATTAGTCAAATAAGTTTGTTTAGCATATGAATACTCCCTTTTCTTTTTTTATGCTAATAATTCTTTTCGGAATTACAAAAGACAGCTACATATTTTAATAAAGTGTCTGTTGTCATTTTCTGCCTTCAATTAGTTTCAAAAACATCAAATGCATGGTAAAATTAAATGATCTATGTGCTATTTACTTTGTATGATAAAATGGTTTTCTTAATAATTATGTAGGAGGTGTTTTAATAAAAAAATGATATTCAAATAAGAATAGAGGTGTTGTATGGCTTATAAATTTCAGTCTATATGAGAAATATATCTGAAATTGATACGCACTTTTTGAAGCTCCCTTGCAACTGAAGATTAATAGGTGTAGCGGTATTCAAGAAAGGACACGGTTTCTCTACTTTAATAAATGGCCCACCGTAAATAAATTCTGGTGTTGTACAATAGTTCTCGTCATCTCTATCTATTTCTGTCGCTGATCCCTGGGACATTCGGTTTGATGATTTACTCATATTGAATTTTTCTAATGTATCATCACAAAGTATATGTTTCGACGGTGGGCCGAGAAACAAAAATATTTAGGGGAAGATTTTAAAAATATTTTGACTGAAACTTGACATTTGTAATGTCATCTGTCAAAAATATGCAACTTGACAGTCACCCAGGCGGTATATATCGAAATCGTTCATAAATTTAAAATTCGTCGTGGAAAATAAGTTTTTAAAATTTTTATTACATTATTAGTTCTGTTGTACAATATTTTATTATTATTTTTTTTTATATTTTTGAATAAATAATGAAAAAAATAATATAATTTAACTTTATCAAACAATTCCTAGTTAATATTGTTAACGCATTAACAATATTAACTAGGAATTGATAGATACAAAACGACGTCTTAATTCAAAAAGGAAACATAATTTTCGATGTATGAAATAAGAAACATGTTCGAAAGGGCTATCAATCATGCTTGTAACACATACTTACATTCCAAATACCCCGCACATAACAACATTCCGCGGGGTAACTATTCGCATAACGGGCAAATTTTCAGTATCAACAGGCCAGTCGTAGGCCGACATTTTTAAGCTTTTAACTATTGTAACTTTCCCTTTAAATATTTAACTGCTCTTACACGCGCATATGTCACAATGAAACAAACGTTTGTGTTATTTCTGTACCTTTTATTTCGACCATGAAACTATAAATAGGGAACATGTGTCGAAGTTGCCCGCGATTATCGAAATGATATAAATTCCTATGCAGCAAAACTTCTATTCAATAAATCCGTTTTACATTGCTTACCCTGTTAGTATAATTTTTGACCCGGAATCCGAAACGTGAACAACTAATTATTATTTTTATGTCACAGACAAACGGGAGATTCATTTTGCTTAGTTAATAGCTTTAATATCTATACAAGATGAAATTCGTTTGATAACTTTAATATTCTTAACATGATGGCACTATTATAAATTAAAAATCGATTATAAATTTGAAAAGCAATTACCCTTGAAAGCCTTTTCATTTGTGTAGTGGATTAAATTAAAGACCTTTCTAGCACAATAATAACTAGCTTTTCGAAACGGAGTCGAACATGTTTTTGAAAAAGCATCAATTTCTTTTATAAACATATTATAACTAGTGGGAATCCAACCCACACAAGTTGATTATATTACCTACATATACCACTGAACCAAAAAGTTATAGGATCCTTTTATAATTTAATTGTGGAACTTTATGTGACTTTTATTTTATGTAAGCAAATACATTTCCCGGTGTTTATTTTACTATAAATCTATTGATATAGAATTTATGGAAATTCTTTTTGAAAATAAACAACGAAGCTCTAAACCCTAACTATTCATTTGATCATTTGAAACATTCTTTGATCGTTGTTACTTTACAAGGTACTGCGAGTTTTCTATAAGGTACCTAAATAGCCAAGACAACACAAGTTTTAAAATATAACATGCAAAGCTCGACTAGTTTTGTTGAAATAATTATAACTATTGCAAAAAAATTTGCATTTCTCAAGTTAATTATGAAAATGTAATAGTAGGTACTAATATTAACTGGAGTTCTAATCAGGTATAATATATATACCTACGTATTATAGGTAGGTATAAATAATAAAAACAAGGCATCAAAAAAAGTATATTAAAACAATAGGGCTACACATGATGTAGGTCTTGAAATCATTACGATTTATGAGCTTCATATATATATGTATTATCATGAAGTTAAAACTATTCCCGCAAAAGATTAGTCTCTTTCCATCTGTCAAACGCATATTAAAATGTTTACTTTTTAATTAGTACCACTTTGGTTAGTTAATACCTCTTTACTGTCAACATAAGCTTAAATTTAAAACCCAATCAAACGAAACATTTATTGTTCGGGATATGCTTATTTCCTAAAAACAATCAAATTCATCTTACAAGCTATAATAATGATTTTACTATGGTCCTCATGAATCGTCATTAGTCTTGCTATTTTAACTTACTTTAAACATGATAGGTAACTTTGGTCAAACTTAAATTATAAAATTACTTCACAAACGTCAATGACTAGGGCTTCAGCACTGAGAACATTAAACAGTTAGGTATAACTTAGAATAGTCTTGCAATTATATTTGAGAACTTTATTTTAACACATAAGAAGTGATTGAAATGTTGTATTCTCAAAGTTAGAAAGGAATGACCATATTGATTAAACCTAAATGTTTAGTCATATTAAAATTAAAGTAGTTTTATAAAACTGTACATTATTAGACGAACAATAACATATTTTGGTTTGTTGATAATAATTCAGCTGTTGGCTGTATTTAGTCACTTTTATTCATAAAGATTTAATAATTTACTTGTCTGTTCGTCTAATTTGCCCTTAAAACTAACACATGAAGTAAAATCCTTTATTTATAATTCAGAATTTCACATTCGATAAAGTAGTAATGTAATTTTGTCAAAATCTTACTGAATTAGGTAAAAATTATACAAATGTGTCAATCAATATAAATGTTTAACATGCATTAAACACTGCATCACAAATACAATTGAATGTATTTTCTATAAATCAAGTTATTATTGTCATCAATACTGTATGATCAGTCATGATATATTTAAAATATTGATTTAACTAAAGGTATGATTAAAATTGTCATTGGTCATTTCACGATACAACTAAGACAGTCGTCAAAAATAAGATATAAAAACTTACCTACCTTATTCTAATATAATACTATGTCAGGCAACTTATCAATACTAAAATCCGTTATAAAGGCACTAATCCCTGATATCATTATTGAGTAATACAATATAGCTAATTTTAGTAATTATTTTGAGATCAATTAGAATGAGATCTAACCGGTGGGTCATGTAGGGTTCAGTGGAACCGCTTCTTGCCATTGCTCTTCATTCTTGTGCTTTTCAATGTTATGGTGGTAGATTCGAGTGGTTTACCATTGTTGTTTGATCGTAGAACTGGACAGTATGTTCTGAAATTACATACAATATTAGCTATTGACAAGTTATATTAGTGTAGTCCCTAGAATCTGTTGCTAGAAAACCCTTGTTGTTGTTGTTCTCAGGAACTACTGGTTCAAATAGAAATATTATTTTTGTGTTGCTTGGAACAAAGTACTAGTGGCAGCAACAACTAATAGAGGGAAATGTGGACACAACGGCGAAAATTAAACTTTTTTCATTACTTCCGTTGCACGAACGAAACGGATACGATTCGAGAATTTTTAACTTCGGCTCGACGTGACCACGGCTGCTGCAAAGCATCCGAAACGAAAAAAATCATTTCCAAATAAGTTTAACTAATATATCGCGTTTTAAACCGTTAAAGTGTTTTATTTAAATGTGTACTACTCGCGTAAACTATAGACAGTATTTAAATTAGTGTAGAGTCTAGAAAAACACTATTTATTTTGGCGACCGATTTAAAAAAAGAAAATCTCTTACATAGTATGCGCGTTATCGCCGCTTGCGCCGCACGTAGAACATACATGTAAGCGAAGAATAGGGCAGGATACCACAAACTTATTCCTAACTTTGGTCTTGACTGTATGCGTTCCATACACCGCCGGGCGCTCACCATTCTTCTTGCAAAATGTACACAGCTTTGAGTCACGAAGACCTATAAATTTATATTGAAAATTATATACACATTTCATAATACCGTTTATTTCATATTAATGTTCTAATCAGAGGCTGTTGAACTGAAAATGAAAATACTCAGTCATATTGCAATATCTAAGTCAATTCTTAAATTAGAGTAGAACAATTAAGGTTTCTTAATATAGGCATGAAATTCTTAGCAGAATATATGGTATCACCCAAGCTTCTATCAGGTGTCCTCAATAGAAAATAATAGTTTAAGTAAGAACAAGGTAATTTGAGAAGCAAATAGTAATATTATTTACTAAAGATGGTAAAAGTATACGGCCTTCTATGCCCTTTCTGGCCAAAATAATTTTTCCTGTTTTTGGAAAATTATATTAACTTTAATTGAATTATATTATAATAACCTGAAGAAGATGCAGCTTTATTGAAGCGAATTGGGTTGGTTATTGGCGAGATTTGTGGTATATACCCAATAGACCCAGGACTCATTCTCATACTATGTGGGGGAGACACAGAGCTGCTGGGCGATATGCTATAAAAGTCACTCTTTTTGTCTTCTACGGGTGACAAATAACTTCTTTGTGACAAGTTATCAAACTCTCTTTTCTTGTCCTCAACAATAAAGAACAAAGAACTTCTCGGTGATAAGTTGTCAAACTCTCTCTTCTTATCATCTGTGGAAAACAAAGAACTTCTAGGTGATAAGCTATCACGCTCTCTCTTTTTATCATCTATGGAAAAAAAAGCATTTCTTGGTGATAAGCTTTCAAACTCTCTCTTTTTATCATCTATGGAAAACAAAGCATTTCTTGGTGATAAGCTTTCAAACTCTCTCTTTTTATCATCTATGGAAAACAAAGCATTTCTTGGTGATAAGCTTTCAAACTCTCTCTTTTTATCGTCTATGGAAAACAAAGCATTTCTTGGTGATAAGCTTTCAAACTCTCTCTTCTTATCCTCTTTAAGAAACAAAAAACTTCTCTGTGATACATTCTCAAACTCTCTCTTTGGGGAACTATCTTCTGTGGGGAACAATGTATATTGTTTAAAAAACTGCTCGTGTTTCTCTGGTGAAACAGGACTCTTCGGTATAATCTGTCGTCCTAAAATAGGTCGCTGACGACTCGAAAATGGCGTCTGGAAGCTAGGCTCAGAATGTTCAAACGTAGGACGGAATGGAGTATTGAAATGGAGACGATTTGTTTCAGTTCGATGAAACATGGGAACCTCAAAGGGTTTAGGTTGGCTAAAGAGCTGATACTGCCCGTACTCCTGTTCTGGCCGGCATGCATTTGAAAAGGAACTTTCAAAGTAGGATTCGGGGGATGTATCCGTCGAACTTGAAGACCTGTTTGTTGCGTATAGAGTCGACTGAAAAATGGGCATGTCAACTGAAACAATAAATAATACAACTATATAGAAATAAACTACAGCAGGGTTGTTTACAAATTTTAACTATTAATTTGTGGGATCATTTAGTTCAAAATCAATTATAATCAGTACACACATACATAATTAACTGAAACATTTTATTACGCCTTACGATACACGCAGCGACGAGAGGAAAAAACATTTAATAACACATGTATACTACTAAATAATAATTAATTAAAAACTATATATTTGAACTAACCATTTCTTTCTGGTCTCGGCAGCAGACTTTGCAACTCCAACGTGTCACTTTTGGTTGGGAACATTTCGAGTTTGATCTACAAAATCGTCATAAATGAATAAACATGGTTAAATGTTATTAAAATGGTAGACGAAAGCGTAAACACGCCAACTTCTATTATTATTAGCTACGTTTAAACTTTGACGTATACATACGTATATATAGGTAAAAAAGGGTGTGTACTTTGTGCTACGTAGGTTTATTAAAATCATTTACATTCCAACAAATAAAGAAAGTGCGGATTATTTATAAAAAAAACTGCGTTCAATTTTATTGTAATCCACATTTCTTTGAAACGTTTTCTAACGATAAAACATTGATAAATAGTACAACGAGTTATTTACGAAAAATAAAAGAAATAAAATGATACACGAGCGGCGCTAAATTTAAAAAAGGCTTGGGCTTTTTTCTGCTTTCATTCGATTTTTATATTTGAAAAGATAAGAAATAATATAAGTATCAATCTATTGCTCGTTAAACTTCAAAGAATGCCTAAAACATATGTTAGTCAGTATGTCTATACTACAAGGTAGGCGTTAAAGGTGGTTGTTAAGTTATAACCTGAAAACAATTTGAAAAATTTAGACAAAAATATACTCTAAGTCTTCAGTTTGCTGTGTTAGTATGGAAAAATATGAAAATATTCACTATTTACCAAGGCATAAGGCAATGTTACGGAAAACTCAATTTCTCGATGGATAGAAATGTTATTGTTAGTAAAAACACATCAACTTTTCTCAACGTAACTAACACGAAAGTGGCTATAATGAATAATCATTATAATTATATAAATGTTTTATTAAATTTATTATTTAATCCCACTTGCTTATTCTTAAATACGTTAATGTCTCGTGAACCCGATTCAAGTTGATCAATTTTCGATATATCCTCAGAAATCAACAACAAAATTTATAAACAATACCGACCGAAAAGGCATTTAAATAATAAATGTAATAATGTTTCAAGAATCAAGGCTTACCTTAAAATGCAATTCAACCATTTGATAGTTAAAGTTTCTTAATCACCTCTCACATTGAAATCGCACCTACGAATGACTGTTTCTTTTTCAAATTGCGGCATCATCAAAGAAAGAAATCATCCCTTTAACTTAGTAATTAAAAGCATCGACGACTCGTTGTTCGATTTTAAAAATAATCAATTGATTCTAAATTCGAACTATCATCAGATAAATGGATTTATCTTAAAAACATTTTGAGCATACGTCTGAAACTTTCAGGTAAACTGGTTTTGTTTCCTACTTTAGCGGTATATTTTAAATAAGCTTTTTTATAGAAGGTGATGATACTTTCTTTGAAGAAAGCCGACACTTCGCCTCGTGCCAACACGCTTTTGATAAAACCCGCTAGCTGCTGCTTCTGGCCACTAGATGGCAGGTTATAAAACGGGCACAAAAAAGGAAATGATATAATCTTTAATAAGTGTTAAAATATGAATTTAAACAAATATTTAAACGTAGATTTAAAATAAAACAAATACAAAAAATATAGTACCGCTATGAGTTATATAAGATAAATACATTTTTGTAATCTGTGGTCTTCTTGTAAATTTCTAACTGTTTACTTATTTTACAGCTAGATGCCACTACATGTCCTACACTAGTACAATTGCAAGTATAACTTGTATCACAGTTTGATGTGCTGATTGAAATTCACTACTATATGAAATTGCCCATAGCGCTTGTGTTTGCAATTTGTTTGTGTTTTGTCCATTTTTTCTTGTACCGAATTTCGGTTACTCTGTGCTATACGTATGCTATTTATTGAATTTCCTTACCTACTTTATTAAGTATGACAAAGATACATCATTCTAGATTTTCACTTAGATTATGTCCGTGGACCAATTTATATAGAGCAAGTGTCCATTGTTAATTGGAACGTCTTTTCCTACACAAAATCAAAACTACTATATCTATAAACGACGAAGTTATGTAGGCACAAACCATGGCAACCAAATCAAACTGAGAACCTACTTCTTCGAAGTATTGTTAACAATACGAAATGAGTACCTACTTCGGTGAGGTAACGTAGCTGCGAACCAACAAAATTCCATTTCTTTTTCCAATTTAGACTGTCTATTTCCGAAGGACTAAAACCTAATTACGTCGACAGTGCATCTTGTTAAGACGTTATAATACCTACCATCATGTGAAACCCATGCTCGTCCGTCAGCGTGAAAAATAAAACGGTGTGTAGTGGACACAGGCACTTCTAATTATTCGTCAGAATTTCACGGAAAACTAATTTGCATAGGTAGTCTTTCCCAGGAGATTATCTGAGATTTGTATGAGAAGATGGGACTTTATGTAATGTCTGGGCGAGTTAGTAGACCGTGAGCGCTTACTTCTGTATGTGAAATCCCATTTGCTCCATGGAACTTGGGACAAACTTATCTACGTCTAGACAGCAATGGACACTTATCCATTTGTAAGTTTAAGATTTACAGTAAATTATGTCATTGGCGAACATATATCGTAAATTTAATTATCAATGCAGAAATTTGGCGTTTAAATATTATTATAATAAAACTCTTTTAACGGTTTAAAATGAGAAATGTATTAGTTAACTTATTTACAATTTGTTGTAACTATTGCCCGACGTTTCCGATGCTTTGCAGTAGCTGTAGTAATAGGGGCACGTTGGGACAATATATCGTAAATTGGAAATAAGTTAACTAAAACATTTCGGGTTTAAAACAGCTTATTGTTTTATTCCAATAAAATCGACTAGTGTATACTGTAGACAATGCTAACGTCATTTTTTTCAGGTGTAAATAAAAGAAATCGTACAGATTGAAAGAATTGGTCCACATTAGGATTGTTTTTAAGAACTACAGAGCTGTTTCTCAATACATTTTACTGTTTCTGATGTTGTACAATACACAGATGGACAGATAGACAAGTTAATAAGCTCTTCGTATTCGTTAAACGATGAGAGTACACCCACAAGTTTAATTTTATTTAAGCTAGCTGCCTCCCGCGACTCCGTCTGCGCGGTAAATCTATTTTGGTATCTAGTGCCCATATACACTATCCCAGTGTTTTTTTTATGATAGAGAGGACAGACAAACTCGTTCACTTCATGGTAGGTGAAATAGGCCTATAACATCTAAACAAGATGCACTGTACTATTTAGGCTATGGATATTCGGAAATCTACTGGCTCAAACCGAAGCACGACTAAACTCGATGCTTTTTTTATCTGTGGATGGGAGTTCATGACCCGAACGGAATTTCGATATTTCCAGTTCCTGCCATCCATTAAACCATATTATTCCGCACATTATACAAACTAAAAACTTAGACGTCTAGTGCTTTCTTGTACGTTTTAGCCGCTGAACTGGAATTTTAAAACGAAAATTGTTAAACTAACTTTTTTTTGCGAATTCTCTTAGCGACATTTGATCTAAATTATACCTATATTATGGTAATAACTGAGCTTAATTCATTACATATTGTATTTTAAAGGTACATGCAGACAAGTTTTTTTTTATTGGACCATGTCTATCAGTATATGTTACACACTCAATTTGTTAATATTTAGTATTTGTTGTAGTGTTCACGTGGGTGTTTGAGTACACTTATGGTCGTAAATGCCCTTTCAGTGAAAAGCGAAACGCTCAATATTTACATGTTACATTTACATTACTGTTAGTTTCAAAGACGAAAAAATACACTACGGATATACAACACAACTGTTTATATATTTAATTTTTATTTGATAGAGAATTTACGTTCTTTAGGTAATAAGTATTTCGGTCGGCTGTCTGCCCATCTCTTAAATGTAACTTAATATTGCGTTAAACACGAAATGCTGTAGGTTCGAATCCCGGGTTCAATATTGTTTCAATCGGGCGAGCACAGGAGTCTGATCAACTAATTTCCAGTAGAAAATTGGACATATAAATGTGTTCGCCCCATGCCCCACATACTTATATACGCCAATAGTTAATTATTATAGCACTGTTAAAATTTAAAGTCGAAAAATGCAGCTAGCTTCCAAGCACATCTATACAAACTCTTCATGTATGTGGAACAAGGTCGCAATTATAAGCTTATTGTGGTATTTTTTTCTTGCACAAGTCATAGGAGATAGCGATACGTGACTCACATAACTCGGTCGCACCAGACTGCCGTCGTTATACACGAGTTTTTGGACTCGAATATTGGGCAAACAATATTCCCGATTGCGTCTGACATAGACTGGCCTCTGTGTAAAGTCAATCAATAAATAAGCACAGAAATGTGTCTGTTTAATGTTAGAAGGCCCACACAGTTCACGTAGTAATAACGTAGATAAAGCTTAAAAATATCGCTACCTTCGTTGACTTAAGACAAAATTACGTCTACTCCGTTTTGTTTGATGCATTTGTTTATATTGAGATTGTCAGATGATTTAAGACAAAGCTAATTCTTTTTTATTTGTACGAAACAGAGCGTGCATGTTTGTTAAAGTTTTAATTGATGTGGATATTGGTCTTCTGTTTGGTATGTTTTGCATCCGGCCATGATACTTGTTACTGAAGTCGGATTATACTTAAAGAATAGATTACTTATATGGTGCAAACTATACCATAGAAAAAAGTATAATGTTTACATATTAGTCATAATATATTAATTTAGTTTTAATTAGTTAAGTTGTTAAACAGAAAAAATTACGATTTCAAAGTCTAGCAAGGACCAAGGTGACCAGATGTTTTCGAGTATCATCTATCTTACAGCATCTCTTTACTAATTCGCTACCTCCGTTAACTTCAGAGTCGTTGAGTCTTCGATTCAAAAGGGGCGTGAGTGTGGATCCGACTTTAACGGGCCGAAAGTGCGAATGTCTAATGTTTGAGAGGAAAGCAAGTTGTTTTTAATATTTTTCTTGCTTGATTTCCATTCTAAACTTTTACTAAACTACGATAACATACAGTCAAAATATTACGAACATCTTGTCACAAACGAAAAATAATAAAAAAAATAGTACGACTTGAAATCAGCCCGGATATTCTCAAAATAATTGAT